GCACGATCGGGGTAACTGCTGCGATGCTTCTGTCAGATTCAGCTCTGGTCTGCGCCGGGTTCAGGCTTCTTCCTGGAATCTGCCTCCCAGTTGTGGTCTTAGTTTGTGGTTGTTTTGGGTCACTTTGTAGGCTCGACTTCCTTGAATCATCCCTCGTCAGTTGAGAAATACCACTTGAGGTTTTCCGGAAAGTGTCTGTCTTTATTTTGTGTGGTTGGAGCAGAACATCTGGTATCTTGTAGACTGTGGTTCTCGGAGCAGATGTGGGGGAGACGGCGACAGGCCTGACAGCTGTTGAAGGGGGAAAGACGCAGATTATTTGGATGGGGATTGCCTTCATAATGCCTTTATCTACATCACCCACATGGCAGTGAACCAACAGCAGAGAGGTCAACAATTGAAGGCTGACTTTAACCATGAAAGTTCAAAAGGTTTCTCTTGATAAGACGGACGCCCAGCGAGAGATAAGACTTAGAAAACGACTTCTCATGGAAGCATGATTACCACTCACGGTCTGTCGACACATCTTAAAGCCAGAATCACAGCAGGAAACACTCATGATGACGACAGGCTGCAGACATGGGAGCCAGTCAAACCTGACTCTGATTTATCCTCAAGTTTCCACAGCCAACATTTCTACATGATACTAATTCAACAGACGCAGATTACATCGTCGTAAAACGTTTAAGTCCAGTGACTCTGAGTTATTGACTCTTGTGACTTTTTTATATACTCAGACCTCAAGAGCTAAATGTTTTCTGCCGAGCTGATTTGTCTTACACTTGTTTATCAGATGACGAAGAGTTATTCTCTTGTTCTTAAAGTAAAAGTTTCAGCTGTATTTGTAGATTCTGACAGACATTTGCTTTGCAAATCATATCAAACAGCAATGGTTAGCATATGTCTTGTATTCAATTTAAAGAATCTGCTTCGAGTTTGCTGTCTCTTTTCTGTGTTCAGTTTGAGATCCTTGTCTTTGATTTCGGGCTAAACTGGAAATAAATAAAGTTTTCTTGATTCCTTTGGGCCAAGCCTTAGCTTGAAGTTTAAATTTATAACTGTTTGGGTTATTTTCTTTGACAGCTGTTGGCAGATGTAATGATACTAAGAAAAACAGATTTGCATTCAGATCACTTAGATTAAATAACTTGCTCCTCATGCATAAAGTTAAAACAAGCCAAAATCTTTTGCATGAGAGCATTAAGGAGTAGGCGGTTAAACAAGGGGGATGAGGAAATCCAAGGATTTGTACTCTGGAGTCTATTTTCACAAAGCTTCAAGTGACAGTGATGTAAAGTCATCCTGTGAATACTTCAAAGTCTGCAGATAGTCACTAACCTTTAGCTGAAAACAAACGTGTAGAGAAACCTACAAACGTTGCAGCGCTGCACCGTTTGTTCAGATTTTTCTACAGATTTAAGGCGTTTAAGAGCAACCACCTTTCTGAATCACAGACGGTTAGATGTGTTTCCTGTGTGACTTTCTGCACACGTCTGCAAACAAACATTATCAAGCCGTTAAGGTAAGCTGTGAGCAGCTGGAGGAAATACTGTCCTTTAGTTTCTCCCACTGCAGGAGGTTTTCTTAAAAAGAATAACCAGCAGTTAGCCGTCGCTGAAACTCAAATTAAGAGGGGAAGGCAGTGTTATTGGCTGCCAATACACAAGTCCTGCATCCTCGCTCAGTGTTCCTCAGAGACGGACAAAGCAAACTTTACTTATTCCCTTGAATGCAAGTTATTTCAAAGATTGCTGGAAACCAAAATCGCAGCCTCCCACACTTTTGGACGCCACAGATCGGCTGCAGAATCTCAAAGAGCTGCAGGATCAGATAAATGTCTGATGTGTTCAGGAGATTCTGTGTTTTGGGTTAGAAGTTATTTCACTTTGCACATCAGGATAAAATGTATGCACTAAAATAAATTCCTTGTAAATTAAGTTGTTGAGGTTGATTGAATAAAAACGTTTGACATAAAAACATGTCAAACGTTTGAAAATGTTCTTGCGTCAGAGTTTCTGATTGTTCATCAGACGATTTTATGATTAAATACGAGGTGGAATTTTTGGCTCGGGCTGACCTTCTTCTTGACATCTGTTTGTTATTGTTCTTCCAACAAAAACTGCAGAGAGTTTTTACGTTTTCAATTGATTCACATGATGTTATGATCAGAGTGTTTTATGTTCTCCGACTATCAGATCTCACAACTGGAGACCAGATTGTGAGTATCTCTTCAAACTTGTTAAAAATCAATTCCTTTTAGATATTCAAAGGAAGAATGTGCAACTTTTTGATCCAGTAGATGTCGCCCTTGAGCACCAGCATGAAACCAAAACAAACTTCTGTTTGGCCACACCTCCTCCATACTGAAGCCTCCGCTCTCCTCCAGAGACACACCTCCAACCCCTCTCCATATTTTATTAATGGAGAATGTTTAAACTATTTCAAGTCTTTTAGCATATAAAACCTAAAACATGTGTTTTCTTATGCTTACCTGTACATGTTGTCCCATTTCCCAGCATGCCTTTGGGGCACTGTCCACAGCTGTATGAGCCAAAGTTATTGAAGCATTGGACTGCTGGGAAACACGGCTTCCTTTCACATTCGTTGATGTCTTCCAGGCATGTTTTACCTGCAAAAATACGCTTTATTTTACATTCCTGCAAATAAAACTTTTAAAGAAGTAAACAGAACACCTTTTTAGTTTTTCACTCTTTTTAAGGTATTGATCAATCTGTTTACCTCTCAGCCCTGCAGGACATTCACATCTGAACCCGCTGGCTGTGTTGACGCACTTTCCGACCGCACACGGGGATGACAAACATTCGTCCACATCCTCGTCGCAGAGGTCGCCCTGCTTCCCTTCAGGACAAACACACAGGTACTTCCCGCTTCCAGCTGGGAAATGAACGTCGGTCACGCATGAACCTCCGTTCTGACACCCGCACGGCACCACATCGATCTGTGTCACAGTTGTAAAGACAGAAACTGCTGAGTCATACCTTTCTTTCTTTTTTATGTTTCTTTGTATTTTTATTTCTGCTCCAGCTGTACCTCCACGTTGAAGATGCTCTGGGCGTTGCACTCGTCCGACAGCGTGAATCGGACGGAGCGGCTCAATCCATCCTCGGGATGTGTTGGGACCCTCCAGATGAGGAGGCCGGCAGGGGAGAGGACCGCCCCGTTAGGCCCAGCCTCCAGCTGGAAGAGGAGTTCCGAGCCCTCGGGGTCCGACGCAGCAAACTGGAAGACGAAATTCTCTCCTGCAAACGTCCGCAGGTTGCTTTGAGGTCGGTGGAAGGTCGGCGGCTCATTCACTGAAGACGGGGGGGGGGAGTTTAGAGACGGACCCATGCAAGGTGTTTAAAAAGAATTATGATGCAATGTAAATGCTAGTATGTTAACATTGAGTCTCTGGGTATAAATAAATTGTTGTTGTTTTTTTGGGGGGGGTTAAGGGGCTGACTAATTTACCCCAACACTAGTAGCTTTTTTATCATTCACGCCTTCTTATTTACTTCTACATCTACAAGAGTTTGTGTTTTCATGTCCTCAGTTAAACTCTTTTTCTCCAGGCTGCTCCCGTAAGACTCGTTGTGAACCCTCGGGGGGGGGGGTTTCCACCTTTTATCTCCAAGCTCAGCCCTCATCGGCCACTTCAACACGACCGCAATCGCATCCAATTGTGACGTCGCGCTCTCCTGACAGATGTTGAAAAGTAAAGAGGTGACGGTAATCTCAGGAAACACCTGCTCAGCATGACGGTAACACAGAGAATGCTCGCTGATTAATGGGATTATGACTGCGGCTGAATTCCTAACATAACCTGAGTAGAAATTAGAAGAAGAAAAAAAAGTGTGGTGAGAAAATTCCACCTGAATGCAACATGAATCAGTTTGAAGAAAAAGATGCATCCTCTCCAATCGGCCTTATTGTGATTAAAATGGAAGAACAAGAAGGATCAACTTATCATTTATTCCTGCCTCACCTTTCCACTCTCTAAGTTTTTTTTAAGTGTTAGTTAGGATGATTGTCAGGCTGTGTAGCTGTGCTAATCATCCATGTGATGTTCTCCCTCCCTTCTCTCTCTCAGACCGGTTAAGCGACAGGTCAGGGCTTGCTGAGAACCTGGAACCTCGGCTCCTTTGATCTGCTCCCGGTGACAAACAGGACCACAGTTGGACAGCTGAAACTGACAGACCATCAGGAGGACTGCCACCGTGCTAATAGAGTAAGATAAATACTGTTGTCCATGTAAGTCATCATTAGTGGGCTGCAAGCTGAGGCAAGATCACCTCCACTCCCTCACTCAGTGTGGGAGTTAATCAATGAACCCTAAAACACCAAGTGATAGCTCCAGATTTAGATCCTGCTGTCAAACCTCAGCAGCCTACACTCTTCTGATTGTCCCCTTTTGACCAGATATTTGAGCCTTTCTGCAGAGATTCACTCCCATTATCCACAAATATGAAGTGACGTTCAGTTGACATCGTCCCAAAGATTTGGTGAGAAGAGATCTTCCACACCACATGTTGAAAGCTACTTTCTTATGAACCTGTTTTTGTGCACTTTTTCACAAATTATCAGAAACTTTCACATCACACTTCTGATTTTAGTGAATCTTTGAATACAAACTATTATTTCAAAAGTGTTTTTAAAGATAGTTCCAGTATCAGGAAATGTAAAATCGAATTGTATGTTATGTCATCATGTCGTACCACATGGTTGTAATGCGTCGCCGTATCGCCTCGTATCTCATGGTATCTTATATCGTATGCAATAACATTGTAGTGCAATGATATTTATTGAGCCCAAAGCCAACAACCATGAAAAACAGATCAAGATTCACAAGTACACAAAAGGGCGACAGGACCTCTGTCTTCATTTTGGGCCAAATAGTTCAAGAAAATGTGAAGAACTTTGTGTTTGAAAATGTCTGTTTTCTGTATTATCTGGGAACGTGATAGGTGTGTTTGTACCTTGATTTACAGACCAGGTGAATCTGGAGGTGTCTGGGTCACAGAGGAGGCAGGGGCTGCTGGGATTGGAGTCGCCTTCTTTGAAACACATCCCGTCGACGTTGCACGTCTTCTCCTGGCAAGAAACAGCATCAAGGTTTGGCAAAAAAGTTTGTTTGTGTGCTGATATTTACAATGTTGTTTTCAGAAGTCTTTGCAGCTTCCAGAAATATAAACATCATAATAAAACAGTTTGGGTTTTAGTTTTGTTTCCTTTGGAGAAGCCAGGTAAGTAAAAGGAAATCGGTTCTTAATATACATCATCTGCTTCTCCTCTCCTGAAGATAATTAAATTTAGTTCTGTTTGGCAAGCACATGCAAATCTCTTGGTGTCCGTGTGTGTGTGTGAACGTTGTTCTTAAGGTTACAAGTTGTCCTGTCTCTGCTCCCATAAAAAGCAGTTCCAGTAACAACAGGACACCGTCTGTGCCTTGTTTTTTTTTAATAGTTTGGTTTTTAAAATACCCAGCTGCTGCTTGCTGAGACGATGGGAACAGACACATGTCTCTGGTTTACTCATTCAACCAGATAATAGTTATTAAGAGAAGCAGATTCTGCAGTCTTAACAGAGTGTGAAAACACACTTTAGCAAGTTCACATGTCTGCTTTGTTTTCTGTACCCAAATAAACAAAACAAGAGAGTCCAAGTTTGTTCAATGAGAGCTGCTGTTATAACGTCCTTTAAAACAGCTAAATGTTGTACAGACTGATCGCCTAATCAAACTGCATCGATCGTCTGAACAGGTGTGATTCTCAGCCTTTAATGGCACCAGATCAGAAACGTTCCCATGTGGGTCAATTAAAAATACGATACGATACACTTAACTGTCCCCTTGGACTCCAACATTCAGCTGCTTCCATTAGATCATCATTTAAAAAACAACAGTAAAACACATCAACATGAAAACAGAGAGGCCCATACCAATGCAAACACCACTATTTTGACATAATTAAGGCACTGGGACTTGTTGGTTTGGCTTTTTTATTGACTGTGCATAATGAGTGGAAGTAGCCACTGTGACGCCAACAATTAGTTTGTGACTATCGTTTTGAAGCCTTTAGCTTTCTATTTTCTCTGTCATGTTTTTTTTGTCTTTAGGAGCCAGAATTGACCGTACAGTATTTGAATGCGATGGTGGACCAAGAGAGCAGCAGAGGATAAGGATAACAAACATCAGAGCCAGTACAGCATGTTCACTTTGGATGCTAAAACAGGCTTTAGTCTTTATAACCTGCAGACAAATTAAAAAGCCTGATGATGTCTTTCGTAGCTCCTCGTCAATCACAGGCTCTTCAACAACTCGCTTTGTCGTCTTTTTTTTTGTGTAAATTGGAACAAATTTTACAAAATGAACATCCTGCTGTGTTGAAGAAGTCGTGAAATTATGGATTAAGACTCTTAGAAAAAGATACAAATCATGTGAGAGCAATAACAATGAGTTACCTTTAACTTACAGAGTCCTGAGCGCGATGCCTCGCAGACTTGGCAAACGCCATCGTAGATAGTCAGCACCTTAGCCTGGCTGTACTGGGAGCCATCGTTGGTAACCTGAGGCAGGAATGAGATGAGAATTCTTTAAAAAAATACAGAACAGAACAGCAAACAGAAGAAAAGGTTCTTCAGCAGACATTACTTTAATCTCCCAGCGTGCGTATGGTTTGTCGTCCATCATGAAGTCCTCCGTGTTGACCGCCGTGTTGCTCAGAGACGGTACGGCACAGTCTAAAGCCTTGGAGCTGAGGAAGGTGGCTTTGGTTCTCTGTTTCTCCCCTGGAACCCAAACTCCATTCATGTACTGTGGAGGCAGAGCAATGACATTCAGAGGAAATGTTTTTGAGAGCAACACTTTTTTTATCTGACCTTAGCGATGGCTTTTTCTAACCTTCAGTCTGGTGGCGTGACAGCTGAGGTCCGGAGAGTCGATGAAGCCGAGCCCGAAGACTCGAATGTTTCGACAGTTGAAGGCTCGAATGTCACAAAGTCCACCGTTCTCCAAATCTGTTATCTCTACTGGCTGGCCTATCAGGAGAAATCGTTTTTTCAACATTACAGAAATTCCTTACTATGCAGATTTTTGTCTGGACAGTTTCTGCAATGTGGATATTTAACAAGGAGTCATCTGCATATTTATAATATTTTGGTGCTCTGTTAGAGTTTAAATGCACAAAGGAATGACTCTGGATACTCACTGATGGCCAGGCTGCAGTCGTAGAAGCTGTGGCTGGAATAACATTGGCAGCCCCATTCTGTGCACTCTCCGTTTCCGTTGCAGAAGTTTGGGCAGCGCAGTGCTGTCACCACTTCCCTGGCTGCTCCAGGCGGACCATCCACCTCCATGGCTCTCTGGGTCCGGTTTTCCAACAGCCTCCTCTCACACTCATTCTCCAGGTAGGGCAGCAGTGCTTCCTCCCAGCCCAGGTCGTCCTTGAGCTGCAGATCCAGAATGCATAGATCAACCGCCTCATCCAGACGGCGTCCCAGCAGCGCACGGCACACTATGCCAACAGTAGAGTTGGCCAAAGCTATCTGACACACCTCGAGGGCTTTGGCAGATGTCAGGCCACTTGGTGTTGGCCATTGAGGCTGCACCTCCGGTCGTGTTTCTGCCAAGTGATCCTCAGGGAAGAAGTAGGCCAAGTTCTCCAGATCAGCCTGGCTGAGACTCTGAGCAGCAAAGACCGGCTTGAATTCAAAGGAAGCTTGTCTCTTAGGTCTATCAACTGAGAGAAGATTATCCTTTCTGAACTCGCCTTCAAGCTCAAGATGGCTGTCACTGTTTTCATTATCCTCACCATCAAACCAAAGGTGCCTCCTCTCCAGAGGATGACTGTCAAACTCAGACATATCCAGGATGCTCTCCTCTTTCTCTGGACTCTTGATATATTCCACTGTGGTGTCCATCGAGGGGAACACAGATGTGTAATCCACGTTATCATATGCTATGCACTCAGAGTGAGCGGAAGGAGTGTACAAGTTCCTCATCCCTCTGCTGGCCTGATGAGAAGTGCGATATCCTTTTTGGCAGATGCAGAAAGGCCTCCTGAAGTCCTGCGTCGTCCCAGGAGGCGTGTTGTCAAATAAACTCTCACCAGGGGCTATCCTAGCAAACACACAATAGAAGGGGAAACCACAGACACAAAACAGCTCTTTAGAGAATCTATTTCAGGCATATGAGGTCTAAACAAAGCAAATTGCATTTACCGACTGACCTCCAGTCTTCTATGAAGCGATGCAAGTCATCCGGGCCATAGGAGCCACCACTGGAACCTTGGAAATCGTTGTTGCCATTACGGTCGAAGGTGCCGCATAGGCCTTGTGTGTTGCTGTAGTCAACGCTGGGGCACGGACAGATAAACTCATCCCCCAGTCGTCCACATCAGCCCTAATAAAGGCCCCGGAGGGAAAAATCAACTACAAGAGGAGAGCCACATTTAACAAATTAACATTAACTTGTTATACAGGATAAAATGTTTAAAAAAAAATCTGCCCCATTGTCAAAATGTTCGGATACCTACGGTGACCTTCTTCCCCTGGTGGGACTCCATCACCCTGACTCTACTGCCCTCCCCGTCACCGAGGTTCTTCAGGGTCAGCTGTGGCCTGGACTCCTGGGGTTGGCCGTTGCACATGTCGAAGACTGCGACCTCATTCCCCTCTCGTGCCGCAACGCCGCAGTTGCATGCGACGGCGTAGTGTCTGCTGCCGCAGTCCCACTGGCGAGAGTGGACCTCAAACTTCCTGACGAGGCTCCGGTAAAGGACAAAGGTACCGGTCTGGTGGTTTTCATAACGCCTGCAGATGGTAGATTGTCAGAATCTGAGTTATCTGATGATTTAAAATTGAACGTTAAATTACCTTATGTTGTGTCTTTGAAACAGATCTTTAGCATCTGATTCTACAATTCTACAATTCACTTAGCAGACACTTTTATCCAAAGTGACGTACATCAGAGAGTAAGAACAACACAAGCAAGGATCTAGAAAAAAGGGAACAATGTCAGGAAGAGCAAATGATCAGCTTTGAGTCTGATTGGACACACAGGTGCTGACAGGAAGTGACCAGAGGCAAAGCACAACATTGAGGGCAGTTCTTGAGAGCTCTAATCAGTATAGAAACCATCTTATAAGTCGTTGTTATCAAACAAAAACCATCGTCATTACCATCATCATCATCAATAATATGGAGACCATCATCATTAAGTTAGTAGGTCTTGTAATGTTAACAGACAAAGAGTAAGGTATTTTACCTGCTTTTTGTAAAGTGTCTTGAGATAACACTTGTTATGAGTTGACGCTATATAAATAAGTTGAACTGAATTGAATATGTATTCATGAAAGAGCTGGGTCTTTAGCGTTTTCTTAAAGGTGCAGAGGGATTCAGACGCCCAATGTAAGGTGTTACTAAAATACAAATGGACGCCCTGATTTTCTTCCTCTCTACAACACTGTTCATCTTCGACAGTCTGTTTGGTTAGGTGAAGGCAGGGAAACACAATGGGTCATAGGTTAACTATAATGGTTTTTCACATAGTACTCAATCCTCTGTCTCCTGGCGGGAGGTCCTGTGTTCTTTTGCTACAAACCTCCAACCTGGCGGAATTTCTCCGTCCCTGTTCTGTATCATAAGGAGCTTCTCTGAGCATACCTTCTCTGAGTGTTGGTACTTGACACCTTGGAAACTGGGACAGGCCGTTCAAACTGAATCTGTAATAATCACTTGACGCCTACTGATGAACGATTAGGAGGTAATTTACCTGCCGTCCAGGGTAATGACATGTGGGTCAGTCAGGGAGTAGCAGATGGAAGTTGGAACGTCCTGGACCGTGACCTGGGGGCAAAGGTCAGGAGAACAAAGATTAGTGGGGCTCCACCCGGTGACCCTCTGACCTGAGGCTTTGATGTTTCAACTAAACACAGATGGGAATCTCCTCTGTGACAAGCCCTCAGAGACACTTTGTCTGGAGGGCTGACATCACGTCTTACATAACGTAATAGCTATTGTGGAAACAGGTAATGGCAGCATTGAGCAGAGCTCTTTAAGTGTCATGTCAAGTCATCAAACAGGCACACCTTTGGCCCTGAACCCCCACCGTACCCTCCAATCTCATAAGGCACTGTACAACTGTGTGTATACATAAACATTACAAGACAGAAGCCTGAAATTACACTTGACGTTGTAATGCCCTATAATTAAAGTAATACTTAGAAAATTATACCACACTGCTGTTATTCTATTATTTATTTATTTCTGAACCCTGGAATCCCCAAAGGCCCCGTGTACCTCCTCAGAAACTGCTCTCAAGAGTCCAGCTACCGCCTGTAAGGACCATGTCTGATGCATCCTGCATACCAGATCGCCATAAAGTCAAGAATGGCACAACATGCTTCTGAAACATCCAGAAGGACCCCCTGTGCAGAAAAGACAATGACCCTGAAGGACCTGTATAACCTGCTCAAGGATCTCAGAATAATCTCCAATGCCACCAAAACATGGAGGACAATTAGGATCCATAAGAAGCTCTGCAAAAGACACCGAGCATTAAGACTGGGACAAAATATTGATACTTCAATATACCATCGCCCTGAATTGTTTCAAACAGTTTTATTAAAGCTGGCACCAGATATTGGTATTGGTGGAAGAAGAGGACAGAACAAATGTATATTCTTCAGCTGATCAGATATAGAATTCTTTTCAACGATTCCAGGGTTGTCATCAGTGAAGGATGAGGAGAGTCTCCTGAGTGCCTTGTGGTCTACTGGACCTGTTCAAGATCCCTCAATCACCTCAAACACTTGAGACTGACTGAACTATTTCATGCAACCCTTGGAATCCCTCAAGGATCTCTCGAGTCACTTCAAAGGAGAACTGAAGTTTTTCTACGATTTAGAAGTCTACAGATTATCCATGGAATTTCTGCCCTGAGAATGACATTCAGTTTACTTTCAATCAGTGTAATCAGTATGAAGATGTGGATATGAACCAGAAACAGCAGAGAATGTATTTATTGATAGACTTTAACTCACTTTCAGGGACGTTGGGTTGTAGTTTCTCCAAAGCCGTGGTGCGCTGGTTCCTGGCAGAACACCGACCAAACTCGGTCGGTTCCCGTCTCGTGTGAAATCGGTGACCGCAGTGACATAGAAGGTTGCCCGGCCACAGCTGCCGTCGCGGCAGGCGTTGGGCTGAAGCTCCACCTGGCAGGCGGACAGCGCCACATTCGAGGCCTCGTGTCCGAGACTGTCTGTGGACGTCAACACGGCAGTGAGTTAGTGTTAAAGGACGACACACAGCTGCTTACAGGACTGTAATAATGTCTTCATGGGCTGGCTTTGATGTGGTGATGGACAGGGCAAGCCAGAGCAAAACAGAAGATGACCTGAAGACAAGATCATGAGATGTTTACACGTCTTCATCACCAACTGGAGTTCCTTCAGATCTTATCAAAGATGCTTCTGACATCTTTAAAGGATGGCGGCCCTCTTTTAAAGCATTCTGAAGGCATGAGTAAGAAGTTAGCGTCTCCAATAGCTACTCACAGTGCCTCTAATTGGTGTTTTTGTCTCATACTCGTCCCATTAAGGGGACTCTTTAGGGTGCTGGAGCTTTGCTTCTTGGCATCCAACCATTAAAAAAAGATACTAGACCTCAGAAATATACTGCTTTGTCAGAGTATTTGTAACCTCTGTCCATTATTTCCATCTTGACTTCTAAACATTTTGTTGCTGCTTATTGGCTGATTTAGCATTTAATTGTGTTCTTGCTTTGTTCCTTTGTTTTATAAGTACTTGAAAAGTTATACATTGGTCTAAAGGATAGTTTGATCTGCTCTAATGCCTCCATCCCATCTCTTCAAGTTTGGATTTTCTGTCCTCAAACAACTTGACTAAATGATGACCTTTTCCAGTAATCACAATCTGCAGTCGTCAAAACAAAACAGTAGGAGGTAAGAGTGACAAGAAACAACTTCTCTTTATTTTCCTGCAGGTCTGACCTGGATCATGAACGCTCAGAGACAGCGGGACTGCACACTGGAGACCGTGGTCAGGGCTGAAGCAGGGGATGGGCACCGTGCTGTGGACGGTCACCTCGTGCTCTTTACTGTTCTCTGTGATGTGGAGCGAGTCCGGAGAAAACTGGAGAGAAAGACGACATTAAAAAACATCCGGTGAGTCACATCTGCAAGGCTTATTTTCCATTTCTTACTTCATAAAAAAATGGGAAAAGGCCTCGAGTCCTTCTTATCTGGGTGTAGAAGATGAATGTTTACCTTCAGTCCTGCGTAGAAACTCTCACTTTCTTTTGGAGTTGATCTGCCGTGGCTGGAGTTGGTTCTGAAAGTCGACACGCTGCAGGAAAACTGCAAAGAACACATCACTTAATGCTTGTCTCAATCCAAAAAAAAACACATATTCAAAAGAAGTATTGCTTTATCAAGGTGAGAATCCTTCAAAAACATGCCTCCGATCTCTGTGTGTTTTGAACAAAGTAAAACGATGATGCATTTTTGCATATGTTTGACTCTATTTACAACAGAGAGAGAGACTTACATCTTCTCTAAAACGTATGTTTGTAAGGCTTGAAGAAGACTAACAATGTGCGGCTGACACAGTATTTGTGATTCATCCAAACATTTCCCGCTGTAGCTCTCAGTCCAGCGCTCCTTTCACGCCGTCCCCATCATCTAACAGCCGTCCCCCCTCTCATGGTTTAAAAAAATGAAGATCACCTTTGACTCAACTCAGTTGCTGCATCAACATGCGTTAAAGACAGCGCTCTGCAACACAAACCAGACACAACTAACACAACCCCGGGGTCCAAATATGGAGACACAATGCTCCACAGCTGTCAGAGGGTTAAAAGTACCCTGACATCACCTCAGGTTCAAAACGCATCATGGTTAACATCTAATGACTTAATGTTTCTTGGAAGACAGAGCAGTCTGCAGCCTCTGGGTTTAACTATCTGAAAATGAAGCTGGGCAGCAGACTGTGGAAGAAAAGCAAAGCTTAATCCTGACAATGATTACACCGAGAGCAATCAAAGTTTCACGTCTGTTCAGCTGTAAGAAAGAAAAACGTTTTAATGAGAAGCCAAAGAGCGAGGAAACTTTGCCAAGCTGTCGACTCTCGACAAGCTTTTCATTTCATTCAGGTGCCACCTTTCATCAACGCTCAGATTACGGATATTTCTTTGGATTTTCTACCTCTTCCCCTGCTAAGTGGAATTACTTTCATGAGCAAGCAACTCAACCTGACAAGCTCCAACGTCTTAAAATCACCAAAGTCTTAAAATCAGCAGCAAAAGGACGCATGTATTATTTTGTTTGTGAAAACGAGTTTCAATCCAAACTGTGGAAAATCCCAGCTGGATGAAAGATGCAGTTCTTCTCCTCACTCCGACATCTCGGCTTGAAGCAACCACGAATGGCCGACAGACGAAACCAGACTCAGAGAGGTTTCAAAGACACTCTCTCTCTCTCTCTCTCTCTGTCTCTGATCAAACTCTCTGCATCACCTCACGTCTTCTGCTAAAGGAATACAGATGATGGACATCTGACCACCAGCATGCACATGCAAGTGTTGGCTCAGGAGGAAAAACTGCTTTAAAGTAAAAGAAAAACATCCCAGCACTTCACTTCACTTCAGTCAACATGTGGTTAGAGCCTTCAGGAGACAATTTGCTGTGAAATGTGGACATATAAACATTACAGACGAGGGCAGAGGGTCATTAGTGAGACTTTAAGAAGAGTCAACATGCCCGAACTCCAAATCTGATGATGCATTCATTTGGATTCAGGCGGACATTCATAGGAATGACAGATGTTTTAGAAGACCAAAGCAGGTCAGGAAATAGAAACAGTTTGGATGTATTACTTGTGTTTGAAATGTCAGATATTTGCAAATGCAAGTTGAAAGACTGATTTCTGCCTTTGCATTGAAAAGTCAACGACAAAGTGTTTTCTAATCTATTCTAAATAAGGCCCGAAAACTTGAAAAAGGGCATAAAATAAGATGACTTTTTTGCAGTCTTATGTGACAATATAGGCTAATCATTTAGATGCATCAACAAGTTTTGAGTCAACATAAACACAGGATCTTTAACTTCCCCTGTCAGAGCTGGATGAACAACCTTTAACCTTCAACTTCAGAGGGAAGTTCTTTGTGTGCATTCAAATATAAAGAGAAGGATGCATTTTGAAATATCGACATGAAACAACTAATTATTCAATAAACTGCATGACACTCTTTGTGAAACTTTAATGCTTAACTTTATAAATAAAACATTTGTAAAATCGCACCAGAAAATTGCACGGACTCGTCCAAAAATTGCACGTCAACAGGAATCAGATTTGTGGATGTTAGGAGGCAAATTAAAAGTACAACACTTAATGTTTCAGAACTTCTCTCAACAGCTGATTCCGCTGTTGAAAATAATGTGAAACATCTGAGGAGCAGCTTTATCTTTATCTTACAGCGAAGGCTCGGCCAGTGTCGAGATAACGTCCCTAGAAAGCACTGTGAGGATTTGAGGGGAGCAGATTAAATAGGAAGCATGTGGAGCGTACCTTTCCCAACCTGCAACTCGTTTAACTTCCCCACCCTCCTCTTGCCTTTCCTTAACGGGATGTGACACGCGTTGCTTCTCCGCCTGCACGTTTTTTGTCTGAACTCCGGCGAAAAGAGGTCAGAGTGATCCGTGGCTTACTGCGTCTGGAGGGGTCAAACCCCCTCCACATGTGCACCCCCCAATAACTTTCAGCACCGTCTGGCAGGAATTACCGTTTCTCCGAGCCTGAAGTGAACGCCATCCATCTCCACCAGAGAGAAGGGCTTCAGCGTGGATTCCTGCCTGATCTCAGCCTTCATGCTGAGGCCGATGTGTCTCGCCCAAACCACCTGGAAGCCCAGCTTCTGGCTCCACGGCGGGGGGACGAAGGAGCACCTCAGGTGGACACTGTGGCCGACGAGCTCTGGAGTGATCACCGGCCGGGACGGCAGGGACGGGACGGCGGCTGAAAACACAGACAGAGGATTAAATGATCTGAAACAACCCTGATTTTAGGATTTTAGTTTTGAATTTGGAGCTCATTTTCGCCGTGCAATTTAGATATTTTGGCTTTTTGGTAAACAAATCAAATATTTTGAAGATGTTGCATCCGGCTTGGAAATGGTGTTGGATGTTTTTTTTACTTCTGTCTTATTTTCTTAAATTTTATAGGCAAAGAATTTATCAAAATATAAAGGACAGATTTAGTGCATCAAATCAGAAGTAACATCTAGCTGATCTTGTAAGTTATGTTTATGCCGTTACTAAGCAACAGAACAGCTTGTAAATATCCAGAGATTGGTCTGCTTCCATGTAAAAAGTACAGGGCTTTTTGATGCTTATCAAACACTAAAACCTTCAGCTCAAAATGTGGAAAACTCAGAGAGGGGAGGGTACAGTCATAGAAAACAACCTTCCTCACCTTTGCATCGACCGTTGACTTCTACCTCACCAGGTGGGCACAGTCTGGGTCCCAAATCTGGAGCCACTGGAACATGAGATTGAACAAAGCTCTTAGTTAAAACTTAAAAATCAAAGTGTTGTCTAATCTTTGACCCTTAGGATTTGAGTGAAGTCAGCTGAGATCCTGCATGCTCACCTTTAGCGCAGTATCCCATGCACCCCTGCGTGGGCTGCAGGTAGTAGATCATGAACTCGCCGCAGTTCCTCACGGTGACGGGGATCTTGAAGAGGCAGCAGTCTTTGGTGCTGCCATGGAAGAACTGCCAGGTGGCGCAGGCGGAGAGCTGACGGACCTCGCCGGGTCGAGGCAGGGAGGCGTCCTTCAGGGAGAGCCACACCGGAGCCTGAGTGCCACAACGATTCATCTGCACAGAGGACGACAGAAACAGTTATTACCTGCAGCGAGAGGGGTTATTACACCCTGCACCTGGACTGAAGGTGCTGATTAAACACTGGTGTTTCATTTGGGTTGGCAGAAGAGGTGTGAGATGTTTCTGCTGATTATGACAATCAAAATGTCAACACAGAGTGCAAAGATGTCCCACCTCAACGCAGGTGGTCGGCATCTCGGCCGGCTTGTTGTTGATTCTGAATCTGTACCATCCCCGGGACAGCGAGTGGTCACAGATCAGGTCCTGGATGGCCGTGTTCTGGATCTCGGTGGAGTCAAAGGCTACACTGCGGTACGGATTATGCAAAATCTGGTGTCCTCCTGGGTAACACTCTGGAGCTGAAACAAAAAAAACAAGACAGGTGTCAAACTTTCATCCAGACAGAGGATGTTTTTGATGCCTTTCAGATCAGGAAACGAGAGGATTCTTCCGGACTTTAAATCTGCTTAAGTGTGTTTTTTTGATGTGCTTGGCTCTGCCTCAGCCTCAAAGATCAATGTTCTCCTCGGCTAAAATCCCCTCCTCTCATATTGTCTTCTCCAGTTCCAGATGTGTCAATTTAATCAGGAGGAAATGAAAAGGGGAGATGGGATGAGGGGTTTTACCCCGGAGTCTTTGTGTTGACGGGGTCCTGCTGTCGGCCGTGTACAAGACAGACGAGTCAAAGTTAAGACTAAACAAAAATCAACTCCAGCTGTCCTGGCGATCACTACAAATAAGTCGCACTGTTCTTGACCTGACTGAGAAGTTTTCTTCCTTTAATCTACTCTGGCGATAGAGGAGTCTTTTGAACTTGAGTAATTGCTTAAAAACCAAAATGTCTTTATCGAGCTTTGAAATGTCTACAAAGTGTAATTTCAAATCTAGATGTTATTCCTGACCCTTAAACGTTACAAAGTCAGGCAGATGTTAAATCCAATTTAACTAAAACAAACATTTAGAAGTCAGGGTGTTGAGTTTTAGGAGAATCTCACTGTTACATCAACCACATTTTCATTCAGTTGAATCTTTTCTAGTTCCTGTACAGTTGCTCAACTCTGACTTCATGTTATCCAATTTACTTAAAACTGGAGAAGATAAACTCACAGATAAAGATAACAATGACTCTGTTAGCAGAGCAGATGAGAAGAACTAAGGCGGTGTTAGAATTACGACTTGAACTGGCTCTTTAAACTGTCAGTCTGCGATGTGGAGGTGAGCATCGGGGATCGTTTTACCCACAGAGGTTATCTAAATTTCTTAGAATAACAGACATTCCTTTGAGCCTCTCGCCTCTCTAAACTCGCCGCGGGAAAAAGCCAACGGGCCATGACGGGACCTCTGCAGCTGGAGGCTAAAACAACTGGGGAAGATTATTTGAGGAGAACCTGCAGCTTTCCACACGAGCGCATTTTCAAAAGCTTCCAAATTCTGTGAAGTGAAACGGGTCAACAGTGGCTGACACAAGAAAGAACGAACTTTTCTTTTTGTTGACACACACAAAACGTGTTTCCTTTCCCCTTGTTTGAGTGAAGTCACGTCAGGGAAAACAAACACTCGGGGTATTTATGGTCTTAAGGGAGTCAAAGCTGTGAATGGACGGGGGCGAGGTTACTGCCTAAACAAGGACAAGCAGGCAGCTCTGCATGTTGAAAAGCAAACTCTTGTTGTTGACATCGCCGCCTGTCTGCGTGTGCTTCTCGTCTGGAAGCTCCTCTGACGAGATTCCAGGTCACAGGTCGTCCAAACAAGCAGCTTTTAAGGCAGGAGGACACTCGTCCAATCGTCGGCTTAATGAGTTTACAGAGCCGGAGGGGAGGCTGAGCTAATGAAGCGGCCCCCGAGGGGAAGGGGGGATCCCACTCAGAGGGAGGTCTGAAGCAGCCCAGATGTGCAGGGACTCTGCAGAGATTTCTCAGGAAAGGAGGTGAATTTAGGAAAAGCGTGGTGTTAAAGACGACAGAGGTTAGGGCCGTTTTTCCTAGAAGGCTTATCACCCAGCGTGAAATCACAAAGAGTTATGGGTCTGGACGAGGCCGTAGGACGCTAAGAGCTCATTATCACTGATTATTACTGAGGACAACACGTTGGAGGGTCTTCATCGGCAAGTTGGAGAATTCAGTGATAGAAAAAAGGATTTAATCGAACGTCTTGATAGCTTACTAACTCAAGTTCCTTCTTTGATACGATGGAAAAGAAGCATGCAACCCTTAAATTAAATCTCGCACAAGAGAGAAAATGTTGACAGAAGATGATAAAATGGCAAAGAAGATGTGGAATAATCTTTTAAAGTCAGGTAGCTAGCTGATCCAGATGTATAAAAAAGCATTAGATGGATTACCGAGAAATTCAGACCAGACGTTTGGTTTCCCAAGAGAGTGACCACTTGACCTCTCTTCTCACCTCCTCTAACCCAACCGTCAGGCCAACCTTTTCAGTTTAGCACAAAAAAATGGGAATTGTCTGAAACCAATGGTGAATTTAATTAACAAACTTAATTTTTGAAGGCAAATTGTGACACTTTGCAGCGCAATGGTGAGAGCACTGTCAGATTGGGCCTCTTAGGGAAGTTTCCTACATTTTGGGCGACTGCTTTGGTTATTAGGTACGCTGCAGGGCTGCCAGGAGAGGGCTCCTCTCCAGTGCTGGGAGAAGAGAGTCTATGTAAGAGGTTTCACCGGCTTAGAGGACTGAAGCCGCCAATTCTTGGTTTCATATTGGGGAACTAACACATGATTTGCAGAACAACCCGGTTTGCTGCCTCTGCAGAAGTCGAGTATTGATTTACAAAACCCTTTTAAATGTGTTCTTCAGTAGCTTTAACGTCTGAGTAATCCCTTCTTCAGTTCTGCAGAGTTATTTTGCATCTTATTCAAACATATTCAGACAAAATCTTTGATGCCTTTTTGTTTCAGTTGCACGATGACATGAAAAGTAAAATCAGTGCTGACCTGTGAACTGTTGTCAACACTTTGAATCTTTTCAGTCGTAACTGATTTAAATGAAGTTCAGAACAAAGTTTGAAGGCTCCACATGATGTTTTATTGGTGACGTCCTGAAGGGGTCAGCGGGGTTAAGTACCGGGTGGGGGGGGGTCTCTATGTGACTGTGTGTTGTTTAAATACGTCTCTATCAGAACACTGGACCTCGACTGGGTGTTGTTTTTGGGTCAGTTGGACTGAGTGTGTCCTGGAGTTACAGGATTCCTTGTAGACTTTGTTTTGGCTCAGAAATGTCTGGTATTCTTTTTGCAAAGCTACGTGAGGACCCTCAGCGCTTCTTTTTTACGACGGCTGGCCTTAAAGTTTTACGACTGCGAGCTTTGATGTGCTGCTGGACGTCCTGGAGACGATGAGCGAGAGGGAAGGCTGACCAACACAACATCTTTACGTTCAAGGAGACACTTTGTTGATCACATTTCTTACAGGATGTCAAACGTAATGGAAGTTTTTCCTCTTTTCTGATGTGTCAATTATTTAATTTTGTGCATTTATTAGAAGTTATAAAAACACATTGTCAGCTTTTATTTCAACACTTTTAACTTCCTTTCATCCTGAATCAAGAAGGACTTGAACGCTCTTTGTGTTTGAATTTGTCCAACTCATCTCAAAGCTTGAACGTTTCCATCCAGTCTGAACAGAGATACGGAGCAGCTGTAACAATAAAATACATCTGACAGTTTTGTCTTTTTGTGCTTCTTCTAAAGCTCCTCATTTAAAAGTTTGGACCCCAGATTATCCTGATAAAAGAAGTCTGACAGAAACACAGAAAACGAGGAGCAGAAAGCTGCTTGTCTTTGTTTACAGCGGCCTTTTTATGAGGACTGCTCTCAGATTGTGTTTATAAGTCTGCAGTTTTATTTCTGCTCATGTTGTTTTACAGCTTTTTTAAAAGGTTTTTTTTAAGTCATTGCTCATTGAAGTTTAGTTTAACAGAACCAGAACTTTGGGTCTTTAGAAGGACTTGTTTGTAGAAGTGATAATGAGCAAATAATTGACAAGAAAAACTCTTAAAGAAGGGAACTTTTTTTTTGGATGCAAATAAAGAGGAGCACATGTGTGAGGAAGATTTGAACCACCACTGAGGAGACAAATGTTTTTGTGTTTTTGTCGTCTTTTACTCTTCTGTGTTTTGACCTTTGACCTGAGGTTTGCTCTTGTCTGTGTTTTGTCCTCTGAAGGTGCTGCTAACCTGTGGACATGCTGAGTGACAGGAATGCAGCCTCACGAGCCAAGTGTGCGCAATCTTCTGATTCAAAAAGGCAAGAAACTTATTTTTTCTGCGCTTTTTGTGCCTTCATATGATGACAAACTCGAGCCTGCACGTGAGACTCAGGGTTGCATTAGAAAGCTTTTTATTTGGTATCATGTCGATGGAAAGTCTGGCAGCTTAGGACTATTTGAAAACGGTTGATCGAGGTGTACAAATGCACTTAACAAGTCGGAATCAAAGTTTTTTTCATGCACCTACCGTGTTGCGCGAACGCTCCTGATTGCGCCATGAAAAGCAGCGCGATGCGTAGAAACAGGCGCACCGATCCACATGCAAACGAGTCCATGGCTGCGGCTCCGGGTCGTAGACAGAAGAGGGATGAATCAGTCGTCGGGTCACATTGAAAGCTCCAGAAAATGGTGCGAAAGTGGCGAAAATGAAACTTTTTCCCGCTGCAGGAGAGAGGCTGTAATTTGCGCCGCGCTCGCTGCAGACTGCGACGGATCTGTGCAGAGAGCGCAAGATGACAGAGAGAGAGAGAGAGAGAGGGAGAGAGAGGGAGGGGGGCTAATGGGGGGGCATCGAGTAGGCTGCTGTGTAGGTGGTTCCTCTGTTATCCTCGAAACAGACGCTCAAAAATCCCCGACATGATCCAAACGCACCAGAAGTCCTCACATCAGCGTCTCCAGAGCTTCGTCGCGCTCCATCACGGTGTCAACACGTCGTGCTCGATGCGAATCTAAACTTCGAGACGTGTTAGGACTCTCTGCCGCGAACTGAAAGGACGCAGATCTGTGCGTAAAACTGCACCAAAAAAGAAAGAAAATATGCGAACAATTAGAGAACACGTGCTGCGGCCACATGACGGCCACATCTCATGTTTCCATAACAAACAGAACTTTCTCATTTCTGCAGCTTTAGTGACTCACTGACTCTGGACGAATCGTGCATTTCACTGATTAATGACTGTAATCACCAGCTGGAGGAATAAACATGAATTTAGTGTAAAAATCACCATGGAATCAAGCTGGTGGTGCAGCAGACTTTACACTAACATAAATACAGGCAGACTTCTGCAGCTTCATAACATAAATTACATGAACTCACTCACATTTTTCAATGAGGCTGACTTCAAATCTTTTTAATTTGTGTTTTTTACTTTACTATTTCTATTAATTTAGCTTTTCACTTTGACTATGACCGTGTTTGACTTCATTATGCTTCTTTTCTGTCGGCTGTGATCCAGTTTTCTAACCAGATCTCATTGCAAAAAAAGAGGAATTTTAAACTTCATGGCCTTGTGGGACTTAAGTGGGGGGATAGAGATGCTTTGAAGCTCTTTAAGAGTTCAAATACAGACCCTAAATGTTGTTCTCGTTGAACTACAATCCCTAAAAAGTGGAAACTGCAGAAGAGGCCTCATGTGCCTCGGCTCATTATCTCTTCATGTGACTGAAAACATTTGAGATTGGGAGGTTGTGACTGAGAGGATTTCTCAGCGTGTGGAGGTGAGAACCTGCAGAGCTGAAAGGGAGAAGGTGGTCCTCCTGAGTTTGGAGTAAACATCAGGTGCACGAGGCTGCAGAGACAAAGACAGCATACCTTTCCACTAAATCAAAGAGCTGAGCGGAGCAAGCAGCAGGTGTTACCCGCTCGCCTTGTCATTCCCTCTCTGCTGCGAAACTGTGAGAACGTCTCAGACTCCGACCTGACAGATGACACGTTAGAGGATAATTTGCTTCAAAGTCATTTTATTTATTTTAAACTGTAACATTTGAATTTGGTTGTTAATCTGTGCTTACAGATGTATCTCAAAGTCGCCCTCAGCATGTTGAAATTTAACATTAAATGTGTTTCCTGGACATCTTTCAGGCCAAAAATGTATTCTCTGGTCGTCTTGACTACGGTGAAATCAGAGTTTGTTATTGTTTTGATCGACAGCCCTCTGGTGGTTGAATTGACATAATGCGCCTTTAATCACCTTTAAACCGTTGAATGCAAAATAACAGCACTCATGTTAAAGTGGAAGTATTTTCCTCCTTATGTCATGTTTTATTCTGAAAAGTACAATTTTAAAGTTGATGTGAACTTCCTGCAGTTTCTCAGACGGCTTTGTACGTTGATCTTAAAATCAGAGTTTGAGTAAAATAACTTCTTCACCTCGTTCGCTACGTTTAGCTTTCACTCGCTCGGCGGCTAATAGAGTGTCCTTACACTTGACAGCAAGGTTATAAAAACATGAAACAACCCCCGCCATGACCCCGATACACTCAGAGAGATGTAAAGTTTTCTTTGGGTATTGCATTTCTTTGTTTTCCTCACGTTTGTTGCAGTTTTTGAAACTCTAGAAGTCTCCTGTAGGACGAACTAAAAGCATAGACACAGAATCAGGCGTCACAACTTTTTCCCCCTCTCATCGTCCTGTCTCGTCTGCACTAAGACCCCAATTTGTCCTCCTCACACCTGTCCTGCATGTGTTCAAAAAGTGCAGACTCATGCAGATTAGAGTCCCGAGAACCTCCTGAAAGCCCCCCACCCCCCCCCCCGGTATGAGAGCGCGGGGCTGGTGGCTCCTTGCTGGAGAAGAGAAAACATTATCTGCCACCTCCTTTGATGTCTGTGCCCTGAGAAACGACATGAGAGGGGGTCGGTCCTGCCTCCTGAGCGCTTCCAGATGTCACACATCCTCATTTACTGTGAGAACAACAAGCAGAGAACATACAAGAGGCATGTAGGCCGCCGTGATGCCCCACAAACATCTTGCAACCATCTTGTTTCTGCTCTCTTAAAAGAACGTGACTCATTTTTAACACGTCTGCATCCTGATCACTCACTCGTGTCTCCCCAGTCTCCATGTTTGAACATGCCATAAAAGTGTGTTTAAAAGGTCCTAAGATTGCATTACAAGTTTAAGTTTAAAGTTTAAAGTGATGCTTCCTTTTTAAGAGTGAAGTCGGAGTGGAGACATGTTTACTGGCTGCTTTGGATGTGCGTCAACAGGCTGATTTGCAGTTTTTCTGAGAAAGATCATGAAGCGTGGGCTAAACTCCGGGGAGGGTGGACGAGGGCAGAAGTCAACCAGCATGACCCCAAAGGTCATCGTTAGACATACTGAAGGTCACGTCTGAGGGGAGCCGCTCTGAGGATCTCAAATCGGGTTTATCTCTAATCTTTATTTACAGATTCTTTATTGAAATGTAGAATGTAGATTTTCAGCATGGGACGTGTTCGGGGTTTCCGTTTGTAGTCCGAGATGATTTGACCAATTAGGTATCAGCTTTGGTGTGTGCAGGAGGAACTGGTGCTTCTCAAGTCTCTTTTTTTTTAGTTTCCTCACTTGAAATTTCCTCGCAGGAATGTGTTCAGTGCCGCCATGTTGATAGATGTCTGTTATTTCAGCACCGTTAAAGCTGACGACCCATGAAGTTTATGAGCTTACAAAATAATCACGATGAATCAAGATGAAAAAAATGTTTGTCTATCACATAGAGAGGCTCAAGAACAGCAAAACAATCACACCCACTACACACACATGAAATCACCCAAAAGTTCCAGAAATAGATAACGGCACATGTGCAAAGAAAGTGTTTATGTCGCCGTATTTCAGATACGTTTTGTAGTCGGTATTAAATAGTTTCTGCATGTTTTCATTTGAGCTAATGGTTTTCTTTAACAGCCATGACATCTGCCTCCTGATAGATTCTTTGTCCATTGAATCTTTTTCAGTTTGAGTCAGAACTCTGCTGCCCTCTAGTGGAGAGAGGTGGTAAACCAGACAGTACAGGAGAAACGTTTTCTTTACAAAGATGTTTGATTACAGGCTTCACAAGAACATGAGTAATAATCAGAACATCTTTACATTTATAAAATTACATAAATAAGTAAAGCAAAACAATTTGTGAGATCCTCTCAGAGCCGGGATATCTATCTATTTATTTCTACATATTTCATAGATCTCACAGTGATATCGGCCGAGATGTCAGTATCTGCTTTTCTCTCTCACCAGTATCCATATCTGTCAGGCCCTTACATTAAGCTCTCTTTCTGCTCATAAAAATCTTTTAGATTCAGAAACAATAAAAGCATTTTTGATTTAAAAAATGGTTAATCATGAGTCATGCTGCAGGAAGTACAGTTTGTAGTTTTTTAACAACATGTTGAACTTCACGCTGCACGACCTGAAAGTGAAACAAAAACAAAAAAAAAGGGGAACTGACGGTCGTGTCTTTGTTCCGCAGGCTGACGGGCGTTTGGTGACAGGAGTGTGATCCAGAAAGAGTCGGCCTCTGGTTGATTCATGAGAACAATGATTAACCTGAAGCGGCACACACACACACACACACACACACACACGGGGGTCAAAGAGCTTGTACAGAGCAGAGATTGAGTCAGTGTGTCGGCTGTGTGTGAAGACGAAGATCATCTGAAGGTAACTCAGGTTTCTCTGTGTGACAGCGAATGATTCAGGCGTCCTGCTGCGAGGATTTTCAGAGTAAAATCAGTGATTATGAATTTAAAGTAAAATAATCTTTAGTGTAGAAAAGTTTGAACTTTGTGTTGTTTCTATGTGTCTAAAGCCGACTTCACTGCGCTCTAAATTTCAGCGTTTGAAAGTCATTTAGAGGTAAAGCAGCGACTTTAAAGAGCAGAATGAAAGATTTAGATTCATCTAGAAAAACTCTCTCTGCAGAGGCTCGGTCGTGTTTGTCCATTCAGGGCTTCTGTAGGTCCACGGGAATGCAACATGGCAGACTTTGTAGAAGAGGAGCTGCTGATTCTGCAGATTTAAAGAGCTCGTTGTGAGCTGATAAAGACACAAAACATTTTAATATTCAAACAAAAACTCAACAACAAATTCAGTGTAACTGACTTCTGCGACTCATTCAGGGAGTTTATTTTGTGTATTTCTTACTTGTTGATATTGAATGTTATTCTGATCCCTTTCTTTGTCATTGTAACATTTGTTTGTTTTTGTAAAAGTGCTTTGAGTAGTCAGGATTAGAAAAGATGTGTCGAGTAAGTCTGCCTCGATGGCTTATTAGGTTTGTCTTATTGTGTGACCTGGGTGTTTAAATCTGTTTCTTCAGATCCATCATAAGATTTGTGTAACGCACAATAAGACAGAAAATGTTCCAGCAGCAGAGCAGCTTCTCCCGAGCTCTGTGAGGTAACATGAATGTTTTTGTCATTTGGAGTTTGGTGGTTTTTAAGAGAGGGATGTTACGGCTGTTTGTGGTGGAAAAACAACAATCTCTATGTCTGCAGGGATCCTTTCTGTGATGATGTCACACAGAGAGGAAGAAGATGAGCGATGTACTTTGACATGGTGCATTCAGGGTGCAGACCATAACGTGGCCTGAAGCAGCATGAAACCTTTATAGACCTGGTTATTCAAAGTGAGGGAGCAGGTTTAGAAATACTTGTTTTAAAATAGTTCCCCGTCCTCTCTGCAGGCCGGCGGTCTCCTGATCTCTCAGCGATGGAGCAGTTTGAAGGCTTAACTCCGACAGAAACCCTCCAGCGAGTTTCTGCGTCTCTGGGCTGCAGCGTCACGTCTGCAGAAGTGGCCGCGTTCCTCGACAAACACGACGACCTGAGACATCTGCGGGAGCGTTTCCACGTTCCTAAAATAGCCGACTTACCTCCCTGTGAGTCACAAACGTTTCTGCACCTTTCATTTTGAATTTCTCTCACTTAATCTAATCATGTGAAAATGAATGTGATGTGTTTTAGCGGCAGCCGATGTGAAGCAGGTCCACGGCGCTGAAGAGTGCATGTACTTAGTGGGAAACTCGTTGGGTCTTCAGCCCAAAAGGGCGAGGACATACCTGGAGGAGGAGCTGGACATGTGGGCCAAGGCGTACGTTACTCTTCTTTTCTTTAAAAAACAGAACTAAATGCTGAGCTTCAGGGTTGAATCATCTCTCTTACAGGGGAGTGCACGGGCACACAGTGGGGTCCAGGCCGTGGGCGTGGGCTGAAAACAAGATCGAGGACATGATGGCTGAAGTCGTCGGTGAGAGATGCACACACACCTTCATGAGCCTGACATTATTATCACACAGAGCAGAATCATTCAAGCTGTTGTTCACTTTGTCTCTGTGAAGCTGCTCCATGAGGTCACTGCACCTTTTGTAGGTTTCAAAGTTCACATGAAGGTCTTTAAACCAGCGTGCAGCGACAAACAGCTCGTACATGTTGAAGAGCTGCTGCAGAGTGACTCTATCACCTTCTTGATTAGTTAATAGTTCAGCCCACAGTGTGCTGATCATCGCACGATGAAGTGAGAAACGCTGTTTTCTGCTTTGACTGAGTGAAGCGTGTGACGGTGTCTCTGTTTGTTTCAGGAGCTGAACCTGAGGAAGTGGCTCTGATGAACGGCCTGACGGTGAATTTACACCTTCTTCTGGTACGATGCTCTCTCTCTCGCTCTCTCTCTCTCTTGATCGTCCACATCCAGAAATATTTTTGTGTCTTTTGTGACCTCAAGTTGCTGCTATCTTAAATCTCATCATGCAGACGTCGGGTACGGAGTGAAAGCTGAAACATGTTTATGTTTTTTTCTGCAGCTTTCCTTCTACAAACCGACTGCAGCGCGCCACAAAATCCTCCTGGAGGACAAAGCCTTTCCTTCAGACCATGTGAGTGAAATGCTTCCAAAAGCTGCAGCGTCACACGTCAGCGTGTTGGAGCTCGAGTCCTCCGTCAGGCGTCGTCCTGATGGAGGACTCAAGCTCCTCATGACCTCTTCATGCACTTTGGTAGTTGTTGAGAAGCTTCCTCTGCGTCGACATGCGAGTCAAATCAAAGGTGCTGTTTTCTGTGAAGGTCAGGTGAGGGTTAAGGTTTATAAAATCCTCTCGAACACATTTTTTCTTTTACTGCCTGCTTGTTTTTCTGCCTTTTCAATGAAACCTGAGAGAGAGAGAGAGACATCTGCAAACAAACACACAAACTTCAGGTCACCCCTGGACAAGTCAGAGCCCCAGTGGAGGTGCTCGTTGCCCCCTGGTGTTTACAAAGATAACTACACACAAAAACAAAATATTGAATAATGATGGATGATAGAGCTTCATGACTTTATTTAGCAACTTGTCAATAAGATATCGGAGCTAAATACGAGCGGGTATTTTGTTGTCAGTGCAGAACAGGTAAAAGACAAAACGTGTTTCTTTGTGTCCTCAGTACGCCGTCGAGTCTCAGATCAGACTGCGAGGATTCGACCCTCAGGAGAGCATGCTGCTGCTGTCAGCCCGACCGGTACCTGAGCTCCTCTCCATGTCTCATTTTTGTGCACGATAATGTTTCCTTTCACACTGAGGAGAACATGAAACAGTCCCACTGATAGAGATTGTTCCTGCCGCTCAGGGAGAAGAAACGCTGAGGACCCAGGACATCCTGGACGTGATCGAGAAGGAGGGAGACTCCATCGCCGTGGTGATGTTCAGCGGAGTTCAGTACTACACGGGACAGCTGTTCAATATGGCCGCCATCACTGAGGCCGGACACAAGAAGGTGAGAAACACACGTTGAACTCTGGGTCTCCTCAACGCCTAAACCACAATAAAACAACATCCTTTGTGTCTCCTCCAGGGCTGTTACGTCGGGTTCGATTGCGCTCACGCTGCAGGAAACGTGGAGCTGAAGCTGCACGCCTGGGGGGTCGACTTCGCCTGTTGGTGCTCCTATAAGGTAAACTGACGAGAGCTGCTTTCTAAAAGTATGAAGTCGTCATTAAAGGACAAATATATGTAACCACTGTTTTCTGTCAGTACATTAACTCAGGCGCTGGAGGGATCGCCGGAGCGTTTATCCACAAGAAGCATAAAGACACCATCAAACCTGCGTGAGTGATCACAATAAAGTGACTTTTATCCTCATTATTAACTTCTGTCAGACGCCGTTTGATATTTAAGCAACATAATTTAATAATAAACACAGTTTGAAGTGAATGTCCTGCAGTCAAAGTCTACATTTAATGTTTTTCTGTCCTGCAGGCTGACGGGCTGGTGGGGACATGACCTGAACACTCGCTTCCAGATGAATAACGGTAAAAAAAAAAGAATAGTTTTTTTATTATCCATCTGAATATTTATGTTTTAATTACTGCACACACACACATTAACAATAAACACATAACACAGATTTAAAAAAAAAAACATTGTGTTTAAAAAGCAGCGTAAAGCCCTGTGTTGTTTTTGTGGTTGCTCTCTGCTGCCATCTTGTGGTTTCTTTTGGTATTACAGCTCACCTACATTAATAAACGCTGAATACAACGCTGATGTTTCCCCACGTTGTCCTGTTGTTTGGGGAATATTTACAGAGAAATGTAGTTTAAATAAAGATGGATCCTTGAAGATCCAGAATTATAAAAAAGTTTTTTACTGTTTAAATGTTTTGTGTGTTGTCAGTGATGGATCTGCAGCCTGGTATAAGCGGCTTCAGGCTCTCCAACCAGCCCATCCTGCTGGTCTGCCCTCTACAGGCCAGTTTGGAGGTACTACAGTTTTCAAAGTTCCCAAAAATGAAAAGCAATGGGTTTCCTCTTTGGTCACAAATTAGGAAAATGCAGCCAGTGTTGTTTTATTAACTCTGCTGACGCTCTCTTCAGGTTTTTAAAATGACCAGCATGCAGGCTCTGCGTAAGAAGTCTCTCCTGTTGACGGGCTACCTGGAGTTTCTGATCCGCCATTATTACACCAAAGACCCCGGCCGGCCTCAAAAGCCTCACGTACGCATCATCACGCCGTCCGACCCCGAGCAGAGAGGATGTCAGCTCTCGCTGTCGTTCTCCGTCCCCATCAGGGAGGTGTTTGACGAGCTGGAGAGGAGGGGCGTCGCTGTGAGTATCCAACTAATGTGTTTGTCTGACTCATCACACAGCAGAGTTAAAAACATGGATTTCTTGTTGTGTTTTTCAGTGCGACATGAGGGAGCCCAGCGTGCTGCGCATCGCTCCCGTTCCGATGTACAACTCCTTCACTGACGTGCATCGCTTTGTGGAGACGCTCGGAGCAGCTCTCACTGCCACCAGCCAAAAATGAATGTTTATAGTTTCAGCTCAGAATGCATTTCACTGCAAAGTCCTCAAAGTGTGCTTTTTGATGCTGAGATATGTTCACTTTAAGGACCAGCAGTGCTGTCGCAGCACGATCAGTGTTTACAGATATTTAACATGAACAATAATGAAGGTTCACATCAATAATGTACAATAAAGAGAAATGTACACGTTTCAAGTTTTGAGTCAATATTTCCTGGTAGAAGATTTGTGCTGCTTGAAATGAACTCAATCTGTAAAAAAGAGTTTCAGCATCAAACTGCTAAAGTATCCTATAAAGTCAACGTCCGAGTTAAATCTCACTCACACTGTCAAACCTTTTGTAATCAATAAAAGATTTTTATAATTCTTGTATCGCCTCATCCTTCCTGCTTAACTTACTTCACCCAAGTGTCTCCTACTACTGCCTTGACTTACACACAAAATAAAACATGCAGTGAACGCCACATAGTTGACTGATTCTGTAAATTCTGCATTTTACTGTCATTGAAATCTCTCTATGTAGTGATCACAGTCGCAGAGTGAATGGAGAGGACTGTTATTAACAGTCGAAATGGGATAACTAAATTACTCCACTTATTCATCATTTTTTAAGGTACTTGTACTTTACCTCGAGTATTTTCTGCTGCATTTATTTATGTGATAAAGTTCCCCATGATTATATAATGTAATTGGCTACATATCGGCTTTACCTACATGAAAAATGCTGCATACACACATTTATTATGAATATGTGATGGCTAAAAATAACAGCAGCAAAGTGTTTTAAAGTATATATTCTATAATAATGAAATGCTTTGTTGTTCTTCAAATGATCTACATGATATTGAAGGTTTTAACTCTTTGTGGCTTTAATGTAACTTCTACACTTTACAACCACAGACTGTAAATATTACAACATAGCTCACCTGGAGGTTAACAGCCTCGTCAGGTCTAATTAACCGCTGCATCATGCATTCATATTGCACTGCTGCCCTCTGCTGGCGATGGGTTGTAATTACATCCAACAGTCACCATAACAGAAATGTATCCTCTTTTTAACCTTTTTTTCCACCACATAAATGTGTGGAAAAATATAAATAGTGCAGTTTATACTTATTTTCTTGAGTGTTTGGATTATTTCACGAATAAACAAATCATTTAAACAACAGTATCTATCCACATTTACAGATTATACATCTAAAAATTAACGTTTTTATTTATTTTCGGTGTTTTACTTAATTTTGTTGTTGTTATTGTGTCTCCTAATTCACAATGAGTTCTCTACATCGATACGACCTTTACCTGGGAGTGACACGACCAACGTCACTTCCGCTGGACCGCTGCTTGCACATCACGCTCAGGTGTGCTCCTCAGGTGTCTGCTAATGTTAGTGCTAACTGAACCATAGCAACATCGTCTGTCTTTATATTTAGTCTCATTAGTCACATTACATAATGCTTATGGCTCACTAAAATCGGATATGTCGTTTTAGTTGAAAGTTGTTGGTTGAACTCAGAATGCAGGGTTTTCTTCTTGTTTGTTTGTACAGGTGTGTGCAGGTGTTTCCTCGCTCTGTGCTGCAGCTCAGAGGTAAAATGATTTTCTAAACATTACTGTTCACAGAGCTCAGATTAAATGTTCATCTTCCTCAAGTTATATGAATAAACTTCATTTATTTAAAAGTAAAAGCTCTTCATCCAGCTTTCTGTGTTTAATTTACTCAAAGAAACAGCAGTCTGATTCATTTATTATTTAAGTGCAGTAACCAACAACTAACCACCAGAGGGCGCCCTCTCCATATAAAGTGATTTATAAACGATAAAATACATTTATTTTAATTTTTATAACTAACCACCAGAGGGCGCCCTCTCCATATAAAGTGATTTATAAACGATAAAATGCATTTATTTTAATTTTTTATAACTAACCACCAGAGGGCGCTCTCTCCATATAAAGTGATTTATAAACGATAAAATGCATTTATTTTTATAACTAACCACCAGAGGGTGCTCTCTCCATATAAAGTGATTTATAAACGATAAAATACATTTATTTTTATAACTAACCACCAGAGGGTGCTCTCTCCATATAAAGTGATTTATAAACGATAAAATACATTTATTTTTATAACTAACCACCAGAGGGTGCTCTCTCCATATAAAGTGATTTATAAACGATAAAATGCATTAATTTTTATAACTAACCACCAGAGGGCGCTCTCTCCATATAAAGTGATTTATAAACGATAAAATGCATTTATTTTAATTTTTATAACTAACCACCAGAGGGCGCTCTCTCCATATAAAGTGATTTATAAACGATAAAATACATTTATTTTTATAACTAACCACCAGAGGGTGCTCTCTCCATATAAAGTGATTTATAAACGATAAAATGCATTTATTTTAATTTTTATAACTAACCACCAGAGGGCGCCCTCTCCATATAAAGTGATTTATAAACGATAAAATACATTTATTTTTATAACTAACCACCAGAGGGCGCTCTCTCCATATAAAGTGATTTATAAACGATAAAATGCATTTATTTTAATTTTTATAACTAACCACCAGAGGGCGCTCTCTCCATATAAAGTGATTTATAAACGATAAAATACATTTATTTTAATTTTTATAACTAACCACCAGAGGGCGCTCTCTCCATATAAAGTGATTTATAAACGATAAAATGCATTTATTTTAATTTTTATAACTAACCACCAGAGGGCGCTCTCTCCATATAAAGTGATTTATAAACGATAAAATGCATTTATTTTAATTTTTATAACTAACCACCAGAGGGCGCTCTCTCCATATAAAGTGATTTATAAACGATAAAATACATTTATTTTTATAACTAACCACCAGAGGGCGCTCTCTCCATATAAAGTGATTTATAAACGATAAAATGCATTTATTTTAACTTTTATAACTAACCACCAGAGGGCGCTCTCTCCATATAAAGTGATTTATAAACGATAAAATGCATTTATTTTAATTTTTATAACTAACCACCAGAGGGCGCTCTCTCCATATAAAGTGATTTATAAACGATAAAATGCATTTATTTTAATTTTTATAACTAACCACCAGAGGGCGCTCTCTCCATATAAAGTGATTTATAAACGATAAAATACATTTATTTTTATAACTAACCACCAGAGGGCGCTCTCTCCATATAAAGTGATTTATAAACGATAAAATGCATTTATTTTAACTTTTATAACTAACCACCAGAGGGCGCTCTCTCCATATAAAGTGATTTATAAACGATAAAATACATTTATTTTTATAACTAACCACCAGAGGGCGCTCTCTCCATATAAAGTGATTTATAAACGATAAAATACATTTATTTTTATAACTAACCACCAGAGGGCGCTCTCTCCATATAAAGTGATTTATAAACGATAAAATACATTTATTTTTATAACTAACCACCAGAGGGCGCTCTCTCCATATAAAGTGATTTATAAACGATAAAATACATTTATTTTTATAACTAACCACCAGAGGGCGCTCTCTCCATATAAAGTGATTTATAAACGATAAAATACATTTATTTTTATAACTAACCACCAGAGGACGCTCTCTCCATATAAAGTGATTTATAAACGATAAAATACATTTATTTTTATAACTAACCACCAGAGGGCGCTCTCTCCATATAAAGTGATTTATAAACGATAAAATGCATTTATTTTAATTTTTATAACTAACCACCAGAGGGCGCCCTCTCCATATAAAGTGATTCATAAACGATAAAATACATTTATTTTCAACCTATAACTTTTAATTAGAGTCTTACATCATTGTTTGGTAAATTATTTATATTAAAGCTGCATTTTTACTTTAAACCTTTTCTTCTTAAGTTTAATTTTACTTTTCAAACTTACTTTTTAATTAATTTAATTAGTTTATTGTTGTTTGGTTTTCTTAATGAAAATACCACAAACCTTTTTATTGATTTAATTGAAATGATCAATTTAATTAAAACTGCTTTTTTGATTATGATTAAAATATTTGATATGAGTACATCTTACAGCTCATTGAGCTAATTTAGATTAAACATAAATTAAAAGGAAACATTTACAAGTTAAAAAGGTTGTTTAAAAATTCTTCTTCCTTGCCTTGATTTTATTAACTTTCATATGCTCATAACTCTTCTTCACCTACCTTATGTTCTCCATTATATTAGGTTCATTGATAATATCACAGATCAATTACAACTCTGAATATATATCATATATATGTATAAAGCTCACACAAGTTAAAGGTAAACAAACTTGTAGAATTATTGTAAAAGTTATAATATAAGATAAATCTGTTTAGATGTTTCTTAAGACCTTATACTCAATGTTTCTATTTTATATTCTAGATAATTGTCTGACTTGATAATTTACAGTGAATGATAAAATCCAGGTTTATTCCAGTCATCACAATGTTGTATAATCACAAACATTTTCTGTGTTTTATTAACTTGATGAACTAAAATTAGTTTTTCTTCTCCAACAGGAACTCTGACGTCTTCCAGGAGGATCCCCCGTCGGTGGCCGTCTTCCTGCTCAGGTTGGAGACTCAAAGCTGTCTTAATGTTGTTTTATTATGTTCCAGGTTTTAGGTCTTATAGATGTTTAGACTCAGTTATTTTAATCATTTGACTTCATCCTTTTTATAGTGGAGGAACATCAGGTGTTTAATGAAATACTACATTTTTATAATCCTTATTTCATGAAACACCTGATGTTCCTCCACTCCAAAAAGGATCAAATGATTAAAATAACTGAGTCTAAACATCTATAAGACCTAAAACCTGGAAAATAATAAAACATGGAGAAAGCTTTGAGCTCCTACCCAATGGGGCTGGAGACTGGCTGGATGTAACCCCTAACCCCCCCCCCCCCCCCTTCCCCCCTCACCTGTGACACCTTGTTGCTGATGTAACATGTACAAACAGAGGTCATCATGTCTGTTCAATATTTTATTGTAATAAAACTACTGCTGTGTTGCTCCTTACAAGTTATACCTCGTTGTAAAGGTGACTCATCAGGCTTCCCAACGATATAAAATACAACACCAATTAGTTTTATTAAAGAGGACAAATAATGGACAAAATAATGTTTCCAAACTTTGAGGAGTTTATTTCCAACAGTTATCAAAGCCACAGAAATCCTTCAGAATCAGCTTTACTGGTCAGGTATTCTTAAACACACGAGGAATTTTACTTTTGTAAACTTTGCTCTCTTTGTACAAAGGTATAATATTAAATATCAACAATAAACAAAGAAGTAAAGACTAATATGTACAAGGATAAATAGGATAATAGTGCAAAGATGCTGAAGTAAACATGAGGTAGTTTGAGGTCGTACTGTCTGCCAAGCCAGGAAGCCAAACAAATGCAGGACGTCACCCCCCAATAAATCATTTATTTAATATATATTTAAAAAAAACAAATCTGAGGCTTGAACAAAACAACACACAGATCCAGCTGGAGAAACAAAGTCTGCATCTGTCTCTGTGGCTCAGGAGATAGACGGAGGACTTGGAGTCTGGAGGTCGTGGGTTCAAATCTTATCAGGACTCAGTGAATTTTAAAGGTGTCGGTCCTAAATGAAAGACTCAAGAGGAACACAGTGAAGCACCTGCCAGTATCGATACACAGGAAAGACTCAAAGACAGAGTTACACACACACACACCATTATCTTAAAGGTGTTGGTCCAAAGGAAAGGCTGAAGAGATCTGAGAAACACAGTCAGGTATCTGTCTCTGTGGCTCAGGAGACAGAAGGAGGACTTGGACTCTGGAGGTCGTGGGTTCAAATCTTATTGAGGCAAATTTTAAAGTCCAACATCTGAAATGATGAAGATAAATACGCCCGGAGCTCATGACATAGTGTGAAGGGATCAGTAGTGTAGTGGATAAGATTGAGGTTTCCAATCTCTGTAGGTGGAGAGCCTGGGTTTGAATCCCACTGTGTCTGATGATAGAGGGTTTGAATCTTATAATATACAATATTATACTTAATATAATATACTGAATATAATATAGTGTACTTACGAATTTTTTTTTTTTAAACGACATACTAACCTAAATTCATTAATGGTCCTTTGTTCCCACCATGACATCAGATTTTATTTCTCATATAAACATATGGTCAATCATATATGAGGATAATATGGTTCAAAGTTTAATATGGATCATCAGTGACGTCACTAGAGACACTGTTTACATGATATGTGAACACCAAGAACACCTGTCCTCTCTCTGGGTCATTCAGGGAACAGGAAGTTATAAAGCAAACAGGAAGTTATAAAGCAAACAGGAAGTTATAAAGCAAACAGGAAGTTGAGGGTTCTTTCTTTAATCTTCAAGGCTGCCCACAGCAGGCAGCAACAGCAATGTAAGTTTAGCTTAGCATGTAGCTTAGCATTAGCCTTGTTATAATTTGTTATGTATTGCATCTGATGTAGCATAGCATGTAGCTCAGCATTAGCATGTAGCTTAGCATTAGCATTTAGCTTAGCATTAGCAACAACTTGTCAGTTTATTGTTTGAATTTATCTAGAACTTTAGTAATGACTAAACTAAATGTTCTTGTGTCTTGTAGTTTTCACTCCTTCAATCTGGTGAATAAATCAAAAGAGTCACTGATTGGCTGACTTCCCTTCAGGTGCAGCTCCTGCAATTCAAAGACAAAGCATGCACAGGTGAGTATGTAGGAATGAGGTGCAAAGGTGTGGTATCATCTATCTGTAGAGAGAGAATGTTAAAAATGTTTGATTTACATTTTAAATTGGGGAATTAATTAAAAATAAAAACTGTTTCAAAAAATAAAATAGATAATTTATTTATATTAGAAATAAATATTATTTATTCATTTAATAATAAATAAAATAAAAAGTTTGTTCAAGCTGTTTCAATCGTCTTCTTTCTGTTTAACGCCTTGTGTTCAGAAATAAAAACATGTATTTCCACTGTGTGTCTGTGTGTGTATATATATATATATATGTGTGTGTGTGTGAGACTCACTGGATTATTAAACTGTGCTAATCCAACATCAGCAAACAGACAGAGTTACTGCAGTGTGACACTCATTATACTCCAGGTGCAGAGGATTAAAGTACAGCTGCAGGTAGACGACTAGCTAGAGCTACATGCTAATGCTAAGCTACATGCTAATGCTAAGCCACATGTTAATGCTAAGCCACATGCTAATGCTAAGCTACATGCTAATGCTAAGCCACATGTTAATGCTAAGCCACATGCTAATGCTAAGCTACATGCTAATGCTAAGCCACATGGTATGCTACATCAGCTGCAATACGTAACAAATTATAACAAGGCTAATGCTAAGCTACATGCTAAGGCTAAACCTTAACTTCAGTACAGTAAAGGAACTTACATTGCTGTTGCTGCGGGCAGATTAAAGAAAGAACCCTCAACTTCCTGTTGATCAATCCAGAGCACTTCCTGTTGCACTCCAGAGCACTTCCTGTTGCACTCCAGAGCACTTCCTGTTGATCAATCCAGAGCACTTCCTGTTGCACTCCAGAGCACTTCCTGTTGATCAATCCAGAGCACTTCCTGTTCCACTCCAGAGCACTTCCTGTTGATCAATCCAGAGCACTTCCTGTTGATAGATCCAGAGCACTTCCTGTTGATAGATCCAGAGCACTTCCTGTTGATAGATCCAGAGTTACAGATTCACAGATATAAGAAGACCAATGAGAAAATGTTTCAGATTAAAAGAAGCAGACAGGTGATCATTCAAACAACATTCATTCTGTTCCTGAGTCCATTTGAACTTTTGTGATCTGTTGGTTTGGTAACCTCAGCATCGTTAACAAAAACAGTTGTTTATTTTAATAAGGACCAATCAGAAGTCCTGGAACACCCTCATGTGCTCCTTGAGACTCCTTGAAGGTCTCGGTCTGGGACTAGAAGAAAAAAAACAACAAATGACATCACTCCATTTGTAGTTTGATTTGTATCCCCCGGTTACGACCACAAGCTTCCCGGTGTTAAAACGTCCCCTGCACACAAAGATATTTGTGGTGTTGGTCTTAGTGTGGTCATGACTACAACACTACCCTCAGCACCCTCTGCATGCAGACACCTTTTACCTGTTACCTGTTGTTTTATTTACCTGTTACCTGTTGTTTAGTTTTATTTACCTTTTAGCTGTTGTTTAGTTTTATTTACCTTTTAACTGTTACCTGTTGTTTTATTTACCTGTTACCTGTTGTTTTATTTCCTTTTTAGCTGTTGTTTTATTTACCTGTTACCTGTTGTTTTATTTACCTTTTAGCTGTTGTTTTATTTACCTGTTACCTGCTGTTTGTAAAGTGTCTTGAGATAACATTTGTATTGAGTTGGCGCTCTACAAAATAAAGATTGATTGAACTGACTTATTGTTTTTCAAGCCTGTCATTGAAAGTTTCCCATTTATTCAAACACTAGAATACAGAAAGAAAGAAAACTACATATTCCTATGTTGAAAAAAACTACAAACATACCTATGATGAAAAGAACCCACAAACATTCATTAATGATAAAAAAAACAACAACTAAGGATTCTTCTAATGAGCTACACATGGTTATTTGGTATACTCTTAAAGGTACAGGTAAAGGTACTGCTACAGGAAGTGACTGATCAAACAGGAAGTGCCCGGCCTATAAAGGAAGCAGGAAGTTGAGGGTTCCTTCTTTAATCTTCAAGGCTGCACAGAGCAGGCAGCAACAGAAATGTAAGTTCCTTCACTGTAATGAAGTTAAGGTTTAGCATGTAGCTTAGCATTAGCAACAACTAAGCTTTCTTTTGTGTGTTAGTTTGTTGTTTGAATTTCTTTATCTAGAACTTTAGTAATGACTAAACTAAATGTTCTTGTGTCTTGTAGTTTTCACTTCTTCTTCAATCTGGTGAATAAATCAAAAGAGTCACTAACTGATTCAATTCAAAGACACATGTGAGTATGTAGAAATGAGGTGCAAAGGTCTGCAGGGAGAGATGAAACTGTCACTCACCTGCTTTAAGTCTTTGTTCTTCACACACTCAACCAGCAGCTCTACACACAGAGAGAGAGAGAGAGAATATGTTAAAAACCACAGATAATTAAAGTTATTATCAGTGCTCTGTGTGACGAGGTTCAAGGTCTTGGTCCTCAAAAGGATTTGATTGACTTCTCCTTTTGGGTGACAGATTTATCGGCTAACAATAAACATGTAAACTACTCTAACTAATTAAAACACAGCTGGCAGATAACCAACGACATTAAGGACTAATGCAGTGCAGCTGAACCTGATCACAGATGTTCTCTCTCTCTCCTCCCCAGGTACTGAAGTCTATGTGATGCAGAATGGACACAGCAGTAGTTACTTTCCAAAAAAACAGTCCCAATGTGACATGATAACAAACTGAATGTTAACTTTCATAAATCAGTTCTTTTTTATTCACTTGTCTCCAAATCATTAGAAAAGTAATCTCCAGACACTTTACAATAACAAACATTTTGAAGTTTAAACTAATTGTGATGTGTTTCTCTTTTTTTAACACTTTTAGGGGCAGCCTGACCAAAACAAGATGACGAGCTGTTAGCATGTCTGCTACACCACGCTGCCTCACCTGCTTCATTCAACATTTGGTGAGTATTTTTCTTGGCTCTTGTTTATTTTAACTGTTTGAGTCACAGTCATATTCTTGATTTTATTTGTAGAGCAAAATTGACATGATGCTACAAACTTTCTTAATCCTAACTCTCGCTTTGATGTAGATTCTTTTGACTTAAATGTTTAAAAATTAGTTATGTATCAGAATGGCTCATTGTACTGTTCATGTTTTGTACATTTTGTAAATTACTCATAGATGCATCCTGACATGAACTTTGAACCCTGATGTCTTATATTCCAGGTGTTTCCTCGCTCTGAAGAGTAGGATCTGTGCTGCAGCTGGAAGGATCTTCTTTGGATTAAAGTTTACTTGTTAGCTGTAAGCTATAGTTTAAAGTCTGTTTTCTTTAACTTTCATTTTAAGTTTTCTCTGAAGACACTTTGATAATAAAATGTTAAAGTCTTACTTTGTCTTATGTTTGTGTTGTCAGCATCTTTAATTCCTAATAGATGTTTTGTAGTAGTTTCCTTTGTCACAAAGCTGTGAACTTGAGGTTTGAGTTGCTTTCATTAGATAAAAGACTACAAGAAACAAGTTTCCTCAGGAACAATGTAAGCTTTAAACTACTATAAATAAAACACAGCTGGCAGATAACCAGAGCACAGAAGTCACTGATGCTGAATGGATAAAGCAGTAGTTTTATTACAATATACATCAGCACAACACAATAAGGTGTCACTGGCATCCCCATTGCGTAGGAGACTCAAAGCTTTCTTAATGTTGGTTTATTAAGTTCCAGGTTTTAGGTCTTATAGATGTTTAGACTCAGTTATTTTAATCATTTGATCCTTATTGTAGTGGAGGAACATCAGGTGTTTAATGAAATAAGGATTATAAAATGTAGTATTTCATTAAACACCTGATGTTCCTCCACTATAAAAAGGATCAAATGATTAAAATAACTGAGTCTAAACATCTATAAGGCCTAAACCTGGAACATAATAAAACAACATTAAGAAAGCTTTGAGTCTCCAACCTGAGCAGGAAGACGGTCACCGACGGGGGATCCTCCTGGAAGACGTCAACAGAGTTCCTGTTGGAGAAGAAAAACTAATTTTAGTTCATCAAGTTAATAAAACACAGAAAATGTTTGTGATTATACAACATTGTGATGATTGGAATAAACCTGGGTTTTATCATTCACTGTAAATGATCTGTGTTTAACTTCACTTTAAGGGTTTTGGATGAGACCGAAGAAAACTTAAATTCAAAGTTTAAATGTAGAATATAAAATAGAAACATTGAGTATAAGGTCTTAAGAAACATCTTTACCTTACATTAACTGTCACAAGAACACAAACTCTAATTAAAGTTATAGTTTGAAAATAAAAGCATTTTATCGTTTATACATCACTTTATATAGAGAGGGTGCCCTCTGGTGGTTAGTTGGTTACTGCACTTAAATAATAAATTAATTAGACTTTGAATTAAACACAGAAAGCTTTTACTTTTTAAATTAAATAAATGAAGTCTATTCATATTACTTAAACAAGATAAACATTTAATTTCTGAGCTCTGTGAACAGTAATGTTGGGAAAATCATTTTACCTCTGATTAACTAATTTACATATCAGTAAATTAACTTTGGCTTTACTTTAACCCGGTGTTGTGTCGTCAAACAATTAGTTGGAAATTAACTGAACTGATTTCTTTGAATGCTTTTAAATCCAGGCTGAGAGCACTTGAGACGACCTCCTTAACTTATAACTGTTTTTAATAAGTTTAATTTATAACTGTTTTTAATTGCTGTCTGTATTTAGAGAGTGTAAATGTTTAACTTTTGCTGCCTCAGGACTCCCTTGAAAAAAAAAAAGGTTTTTAATCTCAGTGAGACTTTCCTGGATAAATAAAAATAAAAAACAAGTTGAAAAGACAAAGAAAACGTCGCGTTACCTTCATAATATTGATAAACGTTATCATCATCTTACTCTGACGAGGTTTCCTCTTAACAAACATTTGTAATGACGTCAGCATGAGCGTTAGCCCACGTGTTAGCATTAGCATAAAGACGCAGGTATTTCTATTTTGTGTCTTTTCACACAAACTGAACTTTTAAAGACTCACTGAGTATCTAGACTTCATGTTTCCTTCCCCGGCTCCTTCTTCTTCCAACATGCTGCCACGCTGCACGCGGTCCGCACCGCTTACCTGCTCGAGACAATGATATACACACCTGAGAACACCTGAACACACCTGTGCGTGATTACCGGAAGCTTCAACCGGAAGTGACGCAGAACGTTTCTATCGAAGAAATTAAAAAGTTATAAATAAGAGGACACATAAACAAGACTAAGTCAAAAATCAAATGTTTTATTAATAGAAAATATTTATTAATGTAATTTACTTGTTTTTATGTTATTTCTTTTAACTCTTGGTAACCTAGCAACAAGAGAAAGTCAAACTCGGTCACCATGGTAACATTAACCGCCCGACTAACTGCGTTCGTTAGCAGGACGAAGCTAACCTGTTTTCCGGTCTTTAGGACACTGACTGAATTCTTACCCACAGATAAATTCAGTGTTCATGATGTTTACCTCCAGTTTCTCTCTTCCTCTCCCTGTCGTTCTCCAAAGTGTCCAAGAAGCAGATAAATTAGTTAGTTTGAGATACTAATGTGTAAAGATGGAGTTTAAAGGTGAAGTTGCGCCCTCCTGTGGTCACTCTGTGAATTACTGCATTCGAAAGTTGTTTTTCACTTTTCTTGTTCTAGATACAACAAACTCAAACTGCTTTCTTTGTTTTATTTCTTTATAAATAAATGTGACTTGACTTAATCACAGATAACATGTTTGCTTTTTAAAAAAATATATTTTTTTAAATTATAAAGCAACTGTTTACTGCTTATGTTAATTAAAATCCATTGTCTGTTAATCACACGTGCATGTTAGTCTCTCAAAGAATCTGAAGTGTAACTTCATTGATTGCATATTCTTGTGTACGTTGGAGCGTTTCACTACTGAGGAAGAAAGCAGATTGTGTTCCCATGACATATTAGGCAATATATTTTTCTTATTTTCTTATTAGTGGTAGATAATTAAAGACTACAATAAACAAGTTTCCTCAAAATGAAAGAAAACAGACAATGAAAGCTGTAAACTACTATAACTAAATAAAACACAGCTGTCAGATAAGGGGTTTTTGTTTTGAATGTCTTCACAATGTCTTTTGAATCTCCAAATTTAAGCTTTGGTTACTGGTTTGCGACACAACAATACTTAAAGCAACTGCATTTAAGATCAACAAGGACAAAATAACAGATAAACACAGACAGAGTAAAGCTGGGTTTACATTTCTACACATCTACTGGTTCATCTCAGATGGACATATCATGCAGTTTACTCGTCTACATTCATCTGAGGTGTTGTTTCTTTACAGATGATGAATTAACAGAAATCTTCACCTGTAAAAAAAAACCCTGTGCAGACTGTAAACAGCAGTTTTTAAAGAGGTGTTCACAGAAGCTGGTTCAGCAGCTTATCAAAATACTCACCACAGCATCAATGTCTCTGGGGCCGACTAACTGTGACAACGCCCTGTAGTCATCAGGAGACATGGGCAACATGTTGTCCTGCAGTCTGGACGGATGTCTGAACAGAAAGCAAATCCACATTAAATCTGCTCAATGCATTACCAATAAAATATTTGACATGTGTTTAAAAAAGTGACGTTCTCTGCTCACACTTCAGAGACAGAAATGAGCTCTGTCTTCATGTAGCCGCTCCTATCTGGATTGTTCTCCACATCCATGGGCTCCTGAGCTAAAAGTCAAATAAACACAGATTCAACTTTAACAGCATTTAGTCCCCAATAAGCATTAAATAAACACGTGCAGTTTGCAATAAGATACTTTGCTGAAATTACAGGTAATAAAAAACCTCTCATCAGCTCCTTTGTATAAAAGGTCTAATGTTTTTACGGCACCTGCAGATTGTTAGTTTAATAAACACTCTTAAAAGAAGCATTAATACTTAATACACAGTTTTTTAAATGTAAGAAAGCATCACATTTTATAAACAGATCATATGGTTTTACTGTGAACCAGAACACTTACTCTCTGTGGGTTTGGGGTAGTATTTCCCGAAGGCCTTGTCTTTTGGGATGTTGGGGTAGAGGAAGCGGAGCGGGTTCTCGGGGATGTTCTCGGCAGCCATCACTTTGTAGGTACGGATGATGTCGGGCAGAGAGACGGCTGACAGCTCCTTCTTCGTGTACGGCTCCACAGAGTGAAAGAGCGGCTTGTCTGCAGAGAGAGGGAGTAGGAAACTGTTCTTCAATTGAAATATCAGAAAATGTCAGATACTGAGCGGAAGGTTTGGGGGTAGCACAGCACGACCTGTCTGGGCATACTGTTGTTTGTTTTGGTTTAATGCTGGTGCTAGAGGGCGATATCTACTGGATCAAAGAGTCTCACATTCTTCCTTTACATAAGACATGAACAGCATCAGTCCTTCACTCACTGCAGAGGTCGTATTCGATCCAGGTAAAGGTGATGGCTCCCTCTCTGCTGCTCTCACTGAACCTGAGCAGGAAGGTCCCGGGACACTTATCACTGAGCAGAGCCTTCTCCCTCTCCTTACTGATGAAGCCCATGATGGAGCTGCACACACACACACACACACACACACACACACACACACACACACACACACACACACACACACACACACACACACACAGAAAATGACTCTAACATCCACTCCGCACATCTCAGAAAAGTGTAAGATGTAAGGTGTAAGACAGACGGCAGCACTCACCCGTCATTCCAAAGGGAAAGCAGGTGTCTTTTAATCACATCCAGGATTCCTTCGATCCACAACCAGAAGGAATACGCTTTCTCGTTCGCACTCTGCTTACAGACAAATACATTTAGTTCAAAGAGAAGTTGTAGTTTTAACTTTATGATGCACCAAAAACACTTTATCAGTATCTGCTAACCTGTACATGTTTCTCTTATTGCAGCTTTTGGTTCAATTATGACTGAAGATCTAAGTTTTTGGACAGCTTTAGTACTTTTCCAAACTTTCAATCATATTGAAAGTACAGATTTTATTCATTTTTAACTTGTGGTATCGAAAAGTATCACAGATGTTGACGATCTTAAATCTCCGGCTGAATGGGGCTCACCTTGCAGAACTTGGTCCAGGGGATTTGTCCCTCTGGGTTCCTCTTGGCTTTGGCTCCTGAAGATACAACAAAATAAAAGTTAAAGGCCTGTTTGAAAGTCCTGCAGGTGTTTATCTGTTAAAGAAAACTATTTCTACCGAGCAGTTTGTCAGCCAGCATGTTGAGCTGCTCCTGGTTCAGGCCTCGCTTGGTGACGGAGGAGAACTGCCAGCTGAGGACCTCGGACAGCTGACACCACTTGGCCTGCGGAGGGCTGAGGAAGAACTTCAGATTCTGAGGGAGAGGAGAGGAAAGAAGAAGAGATGGAAACACAAAAAGTCAAACCATCTGGTTTAAAACTACAGTTAAAGACACTCTGTTACGAATAGAAGACTTTATTCAAAACCTTACTTCATATAAAAAGCACAGGCATCAAAATATACTCAAAATGCAAACCGTAAAACAGCTATACACGCGTCAACATTTAGATTGTATTAATGGTCTGTTTATGAATTTAAGGTGGCAGCTGTGAAACTTGTTTAAATCATTAAGATATCACCTAATTGTATCTTTGATATTTGTGATAAGTAAACATCTGTAATCATCAATGAGAGTCCTGGTTGTGTACCCTGGGCTCGGAGGTCAGCATGTTGTACCAGAGGATGGAGGCCCAGCCGCTGGGCAGCTGACAGACGTTAGAGATGACAACAACAGGCAGGGACATGGCCTACAACAACAAAAACAGCAACAAACATCAGGAAATAATCATGAACAAACTCATAAACTCTATAGTTTGACTGTAGTTACTAATCATGTCCACTAGATGACAGCCAAACTCTGCTGTTTCATTTAACATCCAATAAATATATATGAGCTAACTACGCTCTCAAAAGTGGGAGAAAATAAAATGTTTTTTAAAACACAAATGTAGTTCCACATTTTGTCCATTGGGGGCAGTATAGACACATGAAGCAGTGTAAAGATGGACAGAATCTGGCAGATTTACACTTCCGGTAAAATAAAAAAACAAGTAATACTACTGTAGCTGTCTGCTCCATTTATTTATGTGATAAAGTTCCCCATGATTAAAAATAAAGGCAGCAAAGTGTTTTAAAGTATATATTCTATAATAATTAAATGCTTTGTTGTTCTTCAAATGATCTACATGATATTGAAGGTTTTAACTCTTTGTGGCTTTAATGTAACTTCTACACTTTACAACCACAGACTGTAAATATTACAACATAGCTCACCTGGAGGTTAACAGCCTCGTCAGGTCTAATTAACCGCTGCATCATGCATTCATATTACACTGCTGCCCTCTGCTGGCGATGGGTTGTAATTACATCCAACAGTCACCATAACAGAAATGTATCCTCTTTTTAACCTTTTTTTCCAACACATAAATGTGTGGAAAAATATAAATAGTGCAGTTTACACTTATTCAAGAATATGTTAAAACAAAGTAAATGAAAAGATTGAATTTTTTTAAATGGTTGGTAATTAAAGTGACTACACCTATAACTACTACAAGATGTGTTTGTAATGTCAGTAAAATATTATTATATTAATATAATATTATATTATTATAATATAGTGTTTTCTTGAGTGTTTGGATTATTTCACTAATAAACAAATCATTTAAACAACAGTATCTATCCACATTTACAGATTATACATCTAAAAATTAACGTTTTTATTTATTTTCGGTGTTTTACTTAATTTTGTTGTTGTTATTGTGTCTCCTAATTCACAATGAGTTCTCTACATCGATACGACCTTTACCTGGGAGTGACACGACCAACGTCACTTCCGCTGGACCGCTGCTGCACATCACGCTCAGGTGTGCTCCTCAGGTGTCTGCTAATGTTAGTGCTAACTGAACCATAGCAACATCGTGTGTCTTTATATTTAGTCTCATTAGTCACATTACATAATGCTTATGGCTCATTAAAATCGGATATGTCGTTTTAGTTGAAAGTTGTTGGTTGAACTCAGAATGCAGGGTTTTCTTCTTGTTTCTTTGTACAGGTGTGTGCAGGTGTTTCCTCGCTCTGTGCTGCAGCTCAGAGGTAAAATGATTTTCTCAACATTGCTGTTCACAGAGCTCAGAGATTAAATGTTCATCTTACTCAAGTTATATGAATAAACTTCATTTATTTAAAAGTAAAAGCTCTTCATCCAGCTTTCTGTGTTTAATTTACTCAAAGAAACAGCAGTCTGATTCATTTATTATTTAAGTGCAGTAACCAACAACTAACCACCAGAGGGCGCCCTCTCCATATAAAGTGATTTATAAACGATAAAATGCATTTATTTTAATTTTTATAACTAACCACCAGAGGGCGCTCTCTCCATATAAAGTGATTTATAAACGATAAAATGCATTTTAATTTTTATAACTAACCACCAGAGGGCGCTCTCTCCATATAAAGTGATTTATAAACGATAAAATGCATTTATTTTAATTTTTATAACTAACCACCAGAGGGCGCTCTCTCCATATAAAGTGATTTATAAACGATAAAATGCATTTATTTTAATTTTTATAACTAACCACCAGAGGGCGCTCTCTCCATATAAAGTGATTTATAAACGATAAAATGCATTTATTTTTTATAACTAACCACCAGAGGGCGCTCTCTCCATATAAAGTGATTTATAAACGATAAAATGCATTTATTTTTATAACTAACCACCAGAGGGCGCTCTCTCCATATAAAGTGATTTATAAACGATAAAATGCATTTATTTTTATAACTAACCACCAGAGGGCGCCTCTCCATATAAAGTGATTTATAAACGATAAAATGCATTTATTTTAATTTTTATAACTAACCACCAGAGGGCGCTCTCTCTATATAAAGTGATTTATAAACGATAAAATACATTTATTTTTATAACTAACCACCAGAGGGCGCTCTCTCCATATAAAGTGATTTATAAACGATAAAATGCATTTATTTTTATAACTAACCACCAGAGGGCGCTCTCTCCATATAAAGTGATTTATAAACGATAAAATACATTAATTTTATTTAACTAACCACCAGAGGGCGCTCTCTCCATATAAAGTGATTTATAAACGATAAAATGCATTTATTTTAATTTTTATAACTAACCACCAGAGGGCGCTCTCTCCATATAAAGTGATTTATAAACGATAAAATACATTAATTTTTATAACTAACCACCAGAGGGCGCTCTCTCCATATAAAGTGATTTATAAACGATAAAATGCATTTATTTTTATAACTAACCACCAGAGGGCGCTCTCTCCATATAAAGTGATTTATAAACGATAAAATGCATTTATTTTTATAACTAACCACCAGAGGGCGCTCTCTCCATATAAAGTGATTTATAAACGATAAAATGCATTTATTTTTATAACTAACCACCAGAGGGCGCCTCTCCATATAAAGTGATTTATAAACGATAAAATGCATTTATTTTTTAACTAACCACCAGAGGGCGCTCTCTCATATAAAGTGATTTATAAACGATAAAATACATTTATTTTATAACTAACCACCAGAGGGCGCTCTCTCTATAAAGTGATTTATAAACGATAAAATACATTTATTTTTATAACTAACCACCAGAGGGCGCTCTCTCCATATAAAGTGATTTATAAACGATAAAATGCATTTATTTTAATTTTTATAACCACCAGAGGGCGCTCTCTCCATATAAAGTGATTTATAAACGATAAAATACATTATTTTTATAACTAACCACCAGAGGGCGCTCTCTCCATATAAAGTGATTTATAAACGATAAAATGCATTTATTTTTATAACTAACCACCAGAGGGCGCTCTCTCCATATAAAGTGATTCATAAACGATAAAATACATTTATTTTTTTATAACTAACCACCAGAGGGCGCTCTCCATATAAAGTGATTTATAAACGATAAAATACATTTATTTTTTTATAACTAACCACCAGAGGGCGCTCTCTCCATATAAAGTGATTTATAAACGATAAAATACATTAATTTTTATAACTAACCACCAGAGGGCGCTCTCTCCATATAAAGTGATTTATAAACGATAAAATACATTTATTTTTTTTATAACTAACCACCAGAGGGCGCTCTCTCCATATAAAGTGATTTATAAACGATAAAATGCATTTATTTTAATTTTTATAACTAACCACCAGAGGGCGCTCTCCATATAAAGTGATTTAAACGATAAAATACATTTATTTTCAACCTATAACTTTTAATTAGAGTCTTACATCATTGTTTGGTAAATTATTTATATTAAAGCTGCATTTTTACTTTAAACCTTTTTTCTTAGGTTTAATTTTACTTTTCAAACTTATTTTTAATTAATTTAATTAGTTTATTGTTGTTTGGTTTTCTTAATGAAAATACCACAAACCTTTTTATTGATTTAATTGAAATGATCAATTTAATTAAAACTGCTTTTTTGATTATGATTAAAATATTTGATATGAGTACATCTTACAGCTCATTGAGCTAATTTAGATTAAACATAAATTAAAAGGAAACATTTACAAGTTAAAAAGGTTGTTTTAAAATTCTTCTTCCTTGCCTTGATTTTATTAACTTTCATATGCTCATAACTCTTCTTCACCTACCTTATGTTCTCCATTATATTAGGTTCATTGATAATATCACAGATCAATTACAACTCTGAATATATATCATATATATGTATAAAGCTCACACAAGTTAAAGGTAAACAAACTTGTAGAATTATTGTGAAAGTTATAATATAAGATAAATCTGTTTAGATGTTTCTTAAGACCTTATACTCAATGTTTCTATTTTATATTCTAGATAATTGTCTGACTTGATAATTTACAGTGAATGATAAAACCCAGGTTTATTCCAGTCATCACAATGTTGTATAATCACAAACATTTTCTGTGTTTTATTAACTTGATGAACTAAAATTAGTTTTTCTTCTCCAACAGGAACTCTGACGTCTTCCAGGAGGATCGGTGGCCGTCTTCCTGCTCAGGTTGGAGACTCAAAGCTTTCTTAATGTTGTTTTATTATGTTCCAGGTTTTAGGTCTTATAGATGTTTAGACTCAGTTATTTTAATCATTTGACTTCATCCTTTTTATAGTGGAGGAACATCAGGTGTTTAATGAAATACTACATTTTTATAATCCTTATTTCATTAAACACCTGATGTTCCTCCACTCCAAAAAGGATCAAATGATTAAAATAACTGAGTCTAAACATCTATAAGACCTAAAACCTGGAACATAATAAAACATGGAGAAAGCTTTGAGCTCCTACCCAATGGGGCTGGAGACTGGCTGGATGTAACCCCTAACCCCCCCCCCCCCTTCCCCCTCACCTGTGACACCTTGTTGCTGATGTAACATTTACAAACAGAGGTCATCATGTCTGTTCAATATTTTATTGTAATAAAACTACTGCTGTGTTGCTCCTTACAAGTTATACCTCGTTGTAAAGGTGACTCATCAGGCTTCCCAACGATATAAAATACAACACCAATTAGTTTTATTAAAGAGGACAAATAATGGACAAAATAATGTTTCCAAACTTTGAGGAGTTTATTTCCAACAGTTATCAAAGCCACAGAAATCCTTCAGACTCAGCTTTACTGGTCAGGTATTCTTAAACACACGAGGAATTTTACTTTTGTAAACTTTGCTCTCTTTGTACAAAGGTATAATATTAAATATCAACAATAAACAAAGAAGTAAAGACTAATATGTACAAGGATAAATAGGATAATAGTGCAAAGATGCTGAAGTAAACATGAGGTAGTTTGAGGTCGTACTGTCTGCCAAGCCAGGAAGCCAAACAAATGCAGGACGTCACGCCCCAATAAATCATCTATTTAATATATATTTAAAAAAAAAAATCTGAGGCTTGAACAAAACAACACACAGATCCAGCTGGAGACACAAAGTCTGCATCTATCTCTGTGGCTCAGGAGATAGAAGGAGGACTTGGAGTCTGGAGGTTGTGGGTTCAAATCTTATCAGGACTCAGTGAATTTTAAAGGTGTCGGTCCTAAATGAAAGACTCAAGAGGAACACAGTGAAGCACCTGCCAGTATCGATCCACAGGAAAGACTCAAAGACAGAGTTACACACACACACACACCATTATCTTAAAGGTGTTGGTCCAAAGGAAAGACTGAAGAGATCTGAGAAACACAGTCAGGTATCTGTCTCTGTGGCTCAGGAGATAGAAGGAGGACTTGGAGTCTGGAGGTCATGGGTTCAAATCTTATTGAGGCAAATTTTAAAGTCCAACATCTGAAATGATGAAGATAAATACGCCCGGAGCTCATGACATAGTGTGAAGGGATCAGTAGTGTAGTGGATGAGATTGAGGTTTCCAATCTCTGTAGGTGGAGAGCCTGGGTTTGAATCCCACTGTGTCTGGTGATGGAGGGTTTGAATCTTATAATGTACAAAATATAATATATTATACTTAATATAATATACTAAATATAATATAGTGTACTTACGAATTTTTTTTTTTTTAAACGACATACTAACCTAAATTCATTAATGGTCCTTTGTTCCCACCATGACATCAGATTTTATTTCTCATATAAACATATGGTCAATCATATATGAGGATAATATGGTTCAAAGTTTAATATGGATCATCAGTGACGTCACTCGAGACACTGTTTACATGATATGTGAACACCAAGAACACCTGTCCTCTCTCTGGGTCATTCAGGGAACAGGAAGTTATAAAGCAAACAGGAAGTTATAAAGCAAACAGGAAGTTGAGGGTTCTTTCTTTAATCTTCAAGGCTGCCCACAGCAGGCAGCAACAGCAATGTAAGTTTAGCTTAGCATGTAGCTTAGCATTAGCCTTGTTATAATTTGTTATGTATTGCATCTGATGTAGCATAGCATGTAGCTCAGCATTAGCATGTAGCTTAGCATTAGCATTTAGCTTAGCATTAGCAACAACTTGTCTTAGTTTATTGTTTGAATTTATCTAGAACTTTAGTAATGACTAAACTAAATGTTCTTGTAGTTTTCACTCCTTCAATCTGGTGAATAAATCAAAAGAGTCACTGATTGGCTGACTTCCCTTCAGGTGCAGCTCCTGCAATTCAAAGACAAAGCATGCACAGGTGAGTATGTAGGAATGAGGTGCAAAGGTGTGGTATCATCTATCTGTAGAGAGAGAATGTTAAAAATGTTTCATTGACATTTTAAATTGAGGAATTAATTAAAAATAAAAACTGTTTCAAAAAATAAAATAGATAATTTATTTATATTAGAAATAAATATTATTTATTCATTTAATAATAAATAAAATAAAAAGTTTGTTCAAGCTGTTTCAATCGTCTTCTTTCTGTTTAATGCCTTGTGTTCAGAAATAAAAACATGTATTTCCACTGTGTGTGTGTGTGTGTATATATATATATATATATATGTGTGTGTGTGTGTGTGTATATATATATATATATATATATGTGTGTGTGTGTGTGTGAGACTCACTGGATTATTAAACTGTGCTAATCCAACATCAGCAAACAGACAGAGTTACTGCAGTGTGACACTCATTATACTCCAGGTGCAGAGGATTAAAGTACAGCTGCAGGTAGACGACTATCTGGTGGCTACATGCTAATGCTAAGCCACATGCTAATGCTAAGCCACATGTTAATGCTAAGCCACATGCTAATGCTAAGCCACATGCTATGCTACATCAGATGCAATACGTAACAAATTATAACAAGGCTAATGCTAAGCTACATGCTAAGGCTAAACCTTAACTTCAGCACAGTAAAGGAACTTACATTGCTGTTGCTGCGGGCAGATTAAAGAAAGAACCCTCAACTTCCTGTTGATAGATCCAGAGCACTTCCTGTTGCACTCCAGAGCACTTCCTGTTGATAGATCTAGAGCACTTCCTGTTGCACTCCAGAGCACTTCCTGTTGATCAATCCAGAGCACTTCCTGTTGCACTCCAGAGCACTTCCTGTTGATAGATCTAGAGCACTTCCTGTTGCACTCCAGAGCACTTCCTGTTGATCAATCCAGAGCACTTCCTGTTCCACTCCAGAGCACTTCCTGTTGATAGATCCAGAGTTACAGATTCACAGATACAAGAAGACCAACGAGAAAATGTTTCAGATTAAAAGAAGCAGACAGGTGATCATTCAAACAACATTCATTCTGTTCCTGAGTCCATTTGAACTTTTGTGATCTGTTGGTTTGGTAACCTCAGCATCGTTAACAAAAACAATTGTTTATTTTAATAAGGACCAATCAGAAGTCCTGGAACACCCTCATGTGCTCCTTGAGACTCCTTGAAGGTCTCGGTCTGGGACTAGAAGAAAAAAAACAACAAATAACATCACTCCATTTGTAGTTTGATTTGTATCCCCCGGTTACGACCACAAGCTTCCCGGTGTTAAAACGTCCCCTGCACACAAAGATATTTGTGGTGTTGGTCTTAGTGTGGTCATGACTACAACACTACCCTCAGCACCCTCTGCATGCAGACACCTTTTACCTGTTACCTGTTGTTTTATTTACCTGTTACCTGTTGTTTTATTTACCTTTTACCTGTTGTTTTATTTACCTGTTACCTGTTGTTTTATTTACCTGTTACCTGTTGTTTTATTTACCTGTTACCTGTTGTTTTATTTACCTGTTACCTGTTGTTTTATTTACCTTTTAACTGTTGTTTTATTTACCTTTTAGCTGTTGTTTTATTTACCTTTTAGCTGTTGTTTAGTTTTATTTACCTTTTAGCTGTTGTTTTATTTACCTTTTAACTGTTGTTTTATTTACCTTTTAGCTGTTGTTTTATTTACCTTTTAGCTGTTGTTTAGTTTTATTTACCTTTTAGCTGTTGTTTTATTTACCTTTTAGCTGTTGTTTTATTTACCTTTTAACTGTTGTTTTATTTACCTTTTAGCTGTTGTTTTGTTTTATTTACCTGTTACCTGTTGTTTTATTTACCTGTTACCTGTTGTTTTATTTACCTTTTAGCTGTTGTTTAGTTTTATTTACCTTTTAGCTGTTGTTTTATTTACCTTTTAGCTGTTGTTTTATTTACCTTTTAACTGTTGTTTTATTTACCTTTTAGCTGTTGTTTTGTTTTATTTACCTGTTACCTGTTGTTTTATTTACCTGTTACCTGTTGTTTTATTTACCTTTTAGCTGTTGTTTTGTTTTATTTACCTTTTAGCTGCTGTTTGTAAAGTGTCTTGAGATAACATTTGTATTGAGTTGGCGCTCTACAAAATAAAGATTGATTGAACTGACTTATTGTTTTTCAAGCCTGTCATTGAAAGTTTCCCATTTATTCAAACACTAGAATACAGAAAGAAAGAAAACTACATATTCCTATGTTGAAAAAAACTACAAACATACCTATGATGAAAAGAACCCACAAACATTCATTAATGATAAAAAAACAACAACTAAGGATTCTTCTAATGAGCTACACATGGTTATTTGGTATACTCTTAAAGGTACAGGTAAAGGTACTGCTACAGGAAGTGACTGATCAAACAGGAAGTGCCCTGCCTATAAAGGAAGCAGGAAGTTGAGGGTTCCTTCTTTAATCTTCAAGGCTGCACAGAGCAGGCAGCAACAGAAATGTAAGTTCCTTCACTGTATTGAAGTTAAGGTTTAGCATGTAGCTTAGCATCAGCAACAACTAAGCTTTCTTTTGTGTGTTAGTTTGTTGTTTGAATTTCTTTATCTAGAACTTTAGTAATGACTAAACTAAATGTTCTTGTGTCTTGTAGTTTTCACTTCTTCTTCAATCTGGTGAATAAATCAAAAGAGTTGCTAACTGATTCAATTCAAAGACACATGTGAGTATGTAGAAATGAGGTGCAAAGGTTTGTAGTGAGAGATGAAACTGTCACTCACCTGCTTTAAGTCTTTGTTCTTCACACACTCAACCAGCAGCTCTACACAGAGAGAGAGAGAGAATGTTAAAAACCACAGATAATTAAAGTTATTATCAGTGCTCTGTATGACGAGGTTGAAGGTCTTGGTCCTCAAAAGGATTTGATTGACTTCTCCTTTTGGGTGACAGATTTATCGGCTAACAATAAACATGTAAACTACTCTAACTAATGAAAACACAGCTGGCAGATAACCAATGACATTAAGGACTAATGCAGTGCAGCTGAACCTGATCACAGATGTTCTCTCTCTCTCCTCCCCAGGTACTGAAGTCTATGTGATGCAGAATGGACACAGCAGTAGTTACTTTCCAAAAAAACAGTCCCAATGTGACATGATAACAAACTGAATGATAACTTTCATAAATCAGTTCTTTTTTATTCACTTATCTCCAAATCATTAGAAAAGTTATCTCCAGATACTTTAACATAACAAACATTTTGAAGTTTAAACTAAGTGTGATGTGTTTCTTTTCTTTTTTAACACTTTTAGGGGCAGCCTGATCAAAACTAGATGAAGAGCTGTTAGCATGTCTGCTACACCACGCTGCTTCACCTGCTTCCTTCAACATTTGGTGAGTATTTTTCTTGGCTCTTGTTTATTTTAACTGTTTGAGTCACAGTCATATTCTTGATTTTATTTGTAGGGCAAAATTTACATGATGCTACAAACTTTGTTAATCCTAACTCTCGCTTTGATGTAGATTCTTTTGACTTAAATGTTTAAAAATTAGTTATGTATCATAATGGCCCATTTTACTGTTAATGTTTTGTACAATCCTAGCTGTAAATTACTCATAGATGCATCCTGACATGAACTTTAAACCCTGATATCTTTGTTTCTTGTTTCTGATCTTCCAGGTGTTTCCTCGCTCTGAACTCTGAAGAGTAGGATCTGTGCTGCAGCTGGAAGGAGTTTCTTCGGATTAAAGTTTACTTGTTAGCTGTTTCAGCTATAGTTTAAAGTCTGTTTTCTTTAATTTTCGTTTGCAGTTTTCTCTGAATACACTTTAATAATAAAATGTCTTAATTTGTCTCATGTTTGTGTTGTCAGCATCTTTAATTCCTAATAGATGTTTTGTAGTAGTTTCCTTTGTCACAAAGCTGTGAGAGTTGCTTTCATTAGATAAAAGAATACAAGGAACAATGTAAGCTTTAAACTACTATAAATAAAACACAAATGGCAGATAACCAGAGCACAGAAGTCACTGATGCTGAATGGATAAAGCAGTAGTTTTATTACAACATTCAGGAGACAAGTTCACATCAGCACAACACAATAAGGTGTCACCGGCATCCCCATTGGGTAGGAGACTCAAAGGGTTCTTAATGTTGTTTTATGTTCCAGGTTTAGGTCGAATGAAAGTTTAGACTCAGTTATTTTAATCATTTGATCCTTTTTGGAGTGGAGGAACATCAGGTGTTAAATGAAATAAGGATTATAAAGTGTAGTATTTCATTAAACACCTGATGTTCCTCCACTACAAAAAGGATCAAATGATTAAAATAACTGAGTCTAAACATCTATTAGGCCTAAACCTGGAACATAATAAAACAACATTAAGAAAGCTTTGAGTCTCCTACCTGAGCAGGAAGACGGCCACCGGGGATCCCCAGACGGGGATCCTCCTGGAAGACGTCGACAGAGTTCCTGTTGGAAAAGAAAAACTAATTTTAGTTCATCAAGTTAATAAAACACAGAAAATGTTTGTGATTATACAACATTGTGATGATTGGAATAAACCTGGGTTTTATCATTCACTGTAAATGATCTGTGTTTAACTTCACTTTAAGGGTTTTGGATGAGACCGAAGAAAACTTAAATTCAAAGTTTAAATGTAGAATATAATAAAGAAACATTGAGTATAAGGTCTTAAGAAACATCTTTACCTTACATTAACTGTCACAAGAACACAAACTCTAATTAAAGTTATAGTTTGAAAATAAAAGCATTTTATCGTTTATACATCACTTTATATAGAGAGGGCGCCCTCTGGTGGTTAGTTGGTTACTGCACTTAAATAATAAATTAAACAGATTTTGAATTAAACACAGAAAGCTTTTACTTTTTAAATTAAATTAATGAAGTCTATTCATATTACTTAAACAAGATAAACATTTAATGTCTGAGCTCTGTGAACAGTAATGTTGAGAAAATCATTTCACCTCGGATTAATTAATTTACATATTAGTCAATTACCTTTGCCTTTACTTTAACCCGGTGTTGTGAAGTTAAACAATTAGTTGGAAAATAATTGAACTGATTTCTTTGAACGCTTTTAAATCCAGGCTGAGAGCACTTGAGACGACCTCCTTAACTTATAATTGTTTTTTATCATTTTAATTGATAACTGTTTTTAATAAGTTTAATTGCTGTCTGTATTTAGAGAGTGTAAATGTTTAACTTTTGCTGCCTCAGGACTCCCTTCAAAAAGAGGTTTTTAATCTCAAGGAGACTTTCCTGGATAAATAAAGGTTAAATAAAAATAAAAAACAAGTTGAAAAGACAAAGAAAACGTCGCGTTACCTTCATAATATTGATAAACGTTATCATCATCTTACTCTGACGATGTTTCCTCTTAACAAACATTTGTAATGACGTCAGCATGAGCGTTAGCCCACGTGTTAGCATTAGCATAAAGACGCAGGTATTTCTATTTTGTGTCTTTTCACACGAACTGGACTTTTAAAGACTCACTGAGTATCTAGACTTCATGTTTCCTTCCCCGGCTCCTTCTTCTTCCAACATGCTGCCACGCTGCACGCGGTCCGCACCGCTTACCTGCTCGAGACAATGATATACACACCTGAGAACACCGCAACACACCTGGGCGTGATTACCGGAAGCTTCAACCGGAAGTGACGCAGAAAGTTTCTATCGAAGAAATTAAAAAGTTATAAATAAGAGGACACATAAACAAGACTAAGTCAAAAATCAAATGTTTTATTAATAGAAAATATTTATTAATGTAATTTACTTGTTTTTATGTTATTTTTTTTAACTCTTGGTAACCTAGCAACAAGAGAAAGTCAAACTCGGTCACCATGGTAACATTAACCGCCCGACTAACTGCGTTCGTTAGCAGGACGAAGCTAACCTGTTTCCCGGTCTTTAGGACACTGACTGAATTCTTACCCACAGATAAATTCAGTGTTCATGATGTTTACCTCCAGTTTCTCTCTTCCTCTCCCTGTCGTTCTCCAAAGTGTCCAAGAAGCAGATAAATTAGTTAGTTTGAGATACTAATGTGTAAAGATGGAGTTTAAAGGTGAAGTTGCGCCCTCCTGTGGTCACTCTGTGAATTACTGCATTCGAAAGTTGTTTTTCACTTTTCTTGTTCTAGATACAACAAACTCAAACTGCTTTCTTTGTTTTATTTCTTTATAAATAAATGTGACTTGACTTAATCACAGATAACATGTTTGCTTTTTAAAAAAATATATTTTTTTAAATTATAAAGCAACTGTTTACTGCTTATGTTAATTAAAATCCATTGTCTGTTAATCACACGTGCATGTTAGTCTCTCAAAGAATCTGAAGTGTAACTTCATTGATTGCATATTCTTGTGTACGTTGGAGCGTTTCACTACTGAGGAAGAAAGCAGATTGTGTTCCCATGACATATTAGGCAATATATTTTTCTTATTTTCTTATTAGTGGTAGATAATTAAAGACTACAATAAACAAGTTTCCTCAAAATGAAAGAAAACAGACAATGAAAGCTGTAAACTACTATAACTAAATAAAACACAGCTGTCAGATAAGGGGTTTTTGTTTTGAATGTCTTCACAATGTCTTTTGAATCTCCAAATTTAAGCTTTGGTTACTGGTTTGCGACACAACAATACTTAAAGCAACTGCATTTAAGATCAACAAGGACAAAATAACAGATAAACACAGACAGAGTAAAGCTGGGTTTACATTTCTACACATCTACTGGTTCATCTCAGATGGACATATCATGCAGTTTACTCGTCTACATTCATCTGAGGTGTTGTTTCTTTACAGATGATGAATTAACAGAAATCTTCACCTGTAAAAAAAAACCCTGTGCAGACTGTAAACAGCAGTTTTTAAAGAGGTGTTCACAGAAGCTGGTTCAGCAGCTTATCAAAATACTCACCACAGCATCAATGTCTCTGGGGCCGACTAACTGTGACAACGCCCTGTAGTCATCAGGAGACATGGGCAACATGTTGTCCTGCAGTCTGGACGGATGTCTGAACAGAAAGCAAATCCACATTAAATCTGCTCAATGCATTACCAATAAAATATTTGACATGTGTTTAAAAAAGTGACGTTCTCTGCTCACACTTCAGAGACAGAAATGAGCTCTGTCTTCATGTAGCCGCTCCTATCTGGATTGTTCTCCACATCCATGGGCTCCTGAGCTAAAAGTCAAATAAACACAGATTCAACTTTAACAGCATTTAGTCCCCAATAAGCATTAAATAAACACGTGCAGTTTGCAATAAGATACTTTGCTGAAATTACAGGTAATAAAAAACCTCTCATCAGCTCCTTTGTATAAAAGGTCTAATGTTTTTACGGCACCTGCAGATTGTTAGTTTAATAAACACTCTTAAAAGAAGCATTAATACTTAATACACAGTTTTTTAAATGTAAGAAAGCATCACATTTTATAAACAGATCATATGGTTTTACTGTGAACCAGAACACTTACTCTCTGTGGGTTTGGGGTAGTATTTCCCGAAGGCCTTGTCTTTTGGGATGTTGGGGTAGAGGAAGCGGAGCGGGTTCTCGGGGATGTTCTCGGCAGCCATCACTTTGTAGGTACGGATGATGTCGGGCAGAGAGACGGCTGACAGCTCCTTCTTCGTGTACGGCTCCACAGAGTGAAAGAGCGGCTTGTCTGCAGAGAGAGGGAGTAGGAAACTGTTCTTCAATTGAAATATCAGAAAATGTCAGATACTGAGCGGAAGGTTTGGGGGTAGCACAGCACGACCTGTCTGGGCATACTGTTGTTTGTTTTGGTTTAATGCTGGTGCTAGAGGGCGATATCTACTGGATCAAAGAGTCTCACATTCTTCCTTTACATAAGACATGAACAGCATCAGTCCTTCACTCACTGCAGAGGTCGTATTCGATCCAGGTAAAGGTGATGGCTCCCTCTCTGCTGCTCTCACTGAACCTGAGCAGGAAGGTCCCGGGACACTTATCACTGAGCAGAGCCTTCTCCCTCTCCTTACTGATGAAGCCCATGATGGAGCTGCACACACACACACACACACACACACACACACACACACACACACACACACACACACACACACACACACACACACACAGAAAATGACTCTAACATCCACTCCGCACATCTCAGAAAAGTGTAAGATGTAAGGTGTAAGACAGACGGCAGCACTCACCCGTCATTCCAAAGGGAAAGCAGGTGTCTTTTAATCACATCCAGGATTCCTTCGATCCACAACCAGAAGGAATACGCTTTCTCGTTCGCACTCTGCTTACAGACAAATACATTTAGTTCAAAGAGAAGTTGTAGTTTTAACTTTATGATGCACCAAAAACACTTTATCAGTATCTGCTAACCTGTACATGTTTCTCTTATTGCAGCTTTTGGTTCAATTATGACTGAAGATCTAAGTTTTTGGACAGCTTTAGTACTTTTCCAAACTTTCAATCATATTGAAAGTACAGATTTTATTCATTTTTAACTTGTGGTATCGAAAAGTATCACAGATGTTGACGATCTTAAATCTCCGGCTGAATGGGGCTCACCTTGCAGAACTTGGTCCAGGGGATTTGTCCCTCTGGGTTCCTCTTGGCTTTGGCTCCTGAAGATACAAAAAAAAGAAAAGTTAAAGGCCTGTTTGAAAGTCCTGCAGGTGTTTATCTGTTAAAGAAAACTATTTCTACCGAGCAGTTTGTCAGCCAGCATGTTGAGCTGCTCCTGGTTCAGGCCTCGCTTGGTGACGGAGGAGAACTGCCAGCTGAGGACCTCGGACAGCTGACACCACTTGGCCTGCGGAGGGCTGAGGAAGAACTTCAGATTCTGAGGGAG